CCAACCCGAATAGTTACTCCGAATTTCGTCCTATATCGATTCTTCCTTTCTTATCTAAAGTATTTGAGCGTCTCATATATCAACAAATGACTCCCTTTCTATCCAAAAATAACCTTATGAATCCTTTCCAATCCGGTTTTCGCCGTGGTCATAGTACGGCTACTGCTCTCGTTCAAATAACGGATGACATCAGACTTGGTATGGACTAACAACTGATTACAGTGCTAGCACTGCTGGATTTCAGTAATGCATTTTGAACTGTAGATTTTGATATTTTACTAGCTATACTACGTTCTCTTAACATATCTCCTAAGGTGACTGACTGGTTTCAGTGTTACTTGCGAGGGCGTCGGCAGCGCATATATACTAATGGTCGTAGCTCTGACTGGTGTATGCTAAGCGCCGGTGTCCCGCAAGGTGGCGTGTTGTCTCCTCTATTATTTTCTATATTCATTTCCTCTATCACTAATCACATTTCTTCTCTCTACCACTTGTACGCAGATGATCTCCAAATATATTCACAGACTCACTTAAGTGGGCTCTCGGACACCATGGATTTAATAAACAAAGATTTGTTGCACATAAGCCAATGGAGTAAATCTTATGGTCTGAAAGTTAATCCCACAAAAACAAAGGTGATTATCATTGGTAGCCCGAGACTTATTTCACGGATTGACTGGAAACAATTACCACCTGTCCTTTTTGAGGGCGTCTGCATCCCAATCTGTGAAACAGCAAAAAATCTCGGCGTTATCTTTGATAGGCAACTTTCTTGGACACCTCAAATAAACGAGGTTAGTAAAAAATTGTTTTCATCCATTGGCTCACTGAGAAGATTGAAAAACTTTTTACCTATACCAACTAAAGTTACGCTTGCACAATCTCTCCTTCTACCGATTCTTGACTATGCCGACACCTGTTATACAAACTTAAGTGAGGAGCAATTAAATAAGCTTGAGCGATTACAAAACCTCTGTATTCGGTTCATATTTGGTTTACGCAAATATGACCATGTTTTTGAATTTCGCCAAAAACTCAAGTGGCTCCCTATTCGCCTTCGCAGGAATACTCACATTTTATCTCTTCTTTATTCTATTCTTTTTAATTCAGCGACACCCCTATATCTTAAAGAGCGTCTCACTCTCCTTAGGATGACTCATGAGCGTGCTCTTCGCTCGAGTGAAAATTTAATTCTCTCCATTCCTTCCCATTCTTCTTCTTACTATTCTAAGTCCTTCACTGTAGAAGCTTCTCGACTTTGGAATACTTTACACTTAGCTGTAAGGCGGGCACAGTCTTCAGCCGTTTTTAAAAAAATGGTTAAGGACTTTTACTTTTCTCAACAGTTCTAAGCAGTCAGTTGTTATTGTTAATATCTTGTCTACTTAATATCTCCTATTTTATTATATGTATTTTATGTGTATATTTATGTATGTATGTATTTAATATGGTATATAAGTATATTTATATTATATATATTTATTATTATTTCTGTTTCAAAGTTACTGTACCCCTCCACAACATGATCCTCTACCCAATGGTTGCCTGGAAGAAATCGCTGCTCAGCGATAAGGCCGCCTGTTGCACTTTATATATAGTTATATATAACGTAAATATTATTATTATTTTTTGTATTTGTGCAATAAAGAATAAATAAATAAATAAATAAAGAAATGTGATGTACAAAGGATAGCTTATTAGTTAAGAGATATCACTACCAGAAACCCTTTTGAAAGAGGAAATAGGAAGAGAAATGTGGACTAGATAAAAAAAAGAGAAAAGGTAAAAATAAAAAAGAGGTATATATATGAAAACAAACCAAATTACATATAATAGTATAAAATTCTGATATTATACTAACATAGATATATACATAAATATTTACGAATGGAATAAATAGATAAACGTTACATATTATATTAAGGTAAAAGTGACAGAAGATGTCTCTTAAGTCGATGTTTAAATGCAACTGCACTTGGACTCTCTCTGTAAAGAGAAGGAGAGAGTGAGTTTCATAGTTTTGCACCTTGGACGGAGAAGGATTTACGATAAAATTTTGTATTAAAGGAGGGGATATCAAGAGGATTTTGTGTAACACAAGAGCTAGGAAGGATTCTAGGGGAGGAAAATTTAAAACGCTCGAGTAGGTACGGGGGAGAAGAATGTTTGAACATATTGTACATTAGCGTTAAAACATGCATATTCCGGCGAAAGCGAATAGGGAACCACTTTAATTTGCTGAGGAATTCAGAATTGTGGTCGTATTTACGCAAGCCGGCAAGCAATTTATTTTATAATTATTCCTTGAAAATCACTTTTTCTTTTAGATAATTTAAAAGTAACCCAACATATTCATCAGTAATCGTTGGATAGTTATTAAGATGGTTTAAAAATGACAGAAAAAATATACATTCTCTGTTTTTACTTTTGGCTATATTTTTAATACCTTAAAATATAATAATACATATTTATATTAAGAATTAATATTAAGAATATTAAGAATTAATCGGACAAACAATATAAATATTAAGAATTAATCGGACAAACATTTGATCACATTGAGAAAACTTTAAAACATTCTAGGTGCCCAATGGATGGAGGGAGCATAAAGATTGCATCTAAACTTTTGTTTTTCTCTTGATGTATCCCATATTATTTAGTACATATATATAACGTAAGTCAATATTTTCTTAACATATAATATAATTGTGATAGTGATATACTTATTTATTGAGCTTTGACATAAGATAATACTCAGTTGCCCAGTAGAAAATTTTCATTGAATTTCCTCAGAAAATGTAATATATATATATATAGCCGGTCTTTATAATATATGTGATAAAAAAGTTTATTATTTATTTAGATATATCTTATTTTTTATTGGTATTTTTATTTAAAGACGGTAGAGTCCAGCTGTGGTCAAGTTACTAGCGCTCGAATGTGCTGGCTTGACCGGGGAAGTACCACCCTCTCACAGAAGATCGACGTCAAGTAGTCTTTAATGGCTGCCTTTCGTCCGCTGAGTGAGGGAGCCGGTTCCCTTTCCCTTTTCCCATCCTTTCCTACCCCTCCCTTTTCCTTCCTTTCCCACCTTTTCCTGCCCCTCTACCCCAATCAAGGATGGCGACATATCAACACATCTCTTATGTTGCCTATGTCTATGGTCGATGTTACTACCTACCATCAGCAAGGCCGTCTGCCCGGTGGTCCCCTTTATCATAAAGAATGTATACATACTATCTACATTTCCTATTATTATAAATTTGTTTGTATGCTTATTTCTTCAACTTTTTTTTCTTCTTTCTTTACTGTCCATACACCATATTTCTTTTCTCAATTCCTCTATCAAAAGGATTTCGGGTAGAGATCTGTTGTCTTCTAAGAGACAAGTTATCCTATGATTTCTTTTAAAATACTATAACAATTCTTCTTTTGGTACTTAAATAAATATTTATTTATTCATTCATTCACATTCACTGGTTCATTCATTCATTCATTCATTTGATAAACACCCTGTGAACATAATTGTCACCATTACTTCAGAAAATTGTTATCTCTTGCAGATGTTTAAAGGTAGTAGGAAAATTAATCCATTTTTCACTGAAGTGTAAAGCAAAAATTAAAATCCACAAAATTCAACATAATCAGACAATATTTTGGAAAATAAAGTTAATGTATTTAATAACAATAATTTTTGTTTTTTTTTTTACTAAAAATTCACTGGTTTATCCCGTAACTCATAGTAAACTTTTGTTATCAATGTTAAATATAAACATAAAGATACACGCGAATGGGACCTTTATATCTTGTAATTATTATTTGACAAAAAACAATAATGATAACAAGTATAAAATTGTAAGTTGCACATAGAAGAGCGCATATCTACTTTATACTCGTAGTTGGTAAGTGTAACAATTGATATATAGTAGCTTATCCGTGACTTCGCTTCATTTATTTCAGTTAAAAACATCTTCCGTATTATTCATTTTATTATTAATATAAATTGAATTTTGTTAATACTATCGTATCGTTGGAATATTTATATGTAATTGGGACTTTGATATAATTGCATAACAGTGTGAGCTTTTAATTTAAAATTATAAGAGTATACGACTTATTTATGTTAATCAATATTGGGATGTGATGTTTTTATTTCATTTTTTTTTTTTTTTTTTTTTATTTTATTTTAATAGTTTATTCAAAATTATATTCATTTATATAGGCTAATAAGTTTTGTTTTGAATGCCAGATTCGTGGTTTTTCTTGTGAATATTACGATGGTTCTGTATTATTTAATTAATTTAATAATTATAACTAAGACGATTGAAAGAAACGATTCGAAGAAAGCCATGTGTGTTCTGTCATACTTACTATTAATACAATATATACATATAAGTGATAGTTTTGCACTTGTTTCAAATTGTTTATTAACTTACATTACCTTATGTAGTGTAGTTAGTTAGGTGATAAATTAAACACTTAATAATTAATCATTGTGAAAAAAATTACCCAAAAAGTCGTTAATATAGAAAATATTTAAGTTTAAAATTTTATTTATTCAATTTTGTAACTCATAAATAAGCTATATATTACTATTTTTAATAATGATTGACGGTCAAGCATTTTAGACACTGTAGACTTATAGTGACTCGATTGATACTGAGAAAAAAAATATATTTTTTCAATTTTTTTCATAAAAAAATAAGTAAATTAATGTCAATTTCCACATGGAAACAACTTATTTAATACCTCTACGTATGGTTTATTTCATCAATGAATTTTGACATGACTTAAATACAAAAACAGATATTGTGTTTCGTTTTAGTTACAATACTTATATACTATATATCAATACATTTTTTGTTAAGTCGTTAAAATCATTGCAAACAGTGTTAAAATTAATCTCTAAAATTTTACAAGTAAAACATAATCCTTTAAACATTAATGTGTCTATATTATCCTTATTAATGTATTGTAATAATTATTTTCAGACTGGAAAAATGAGAACACAAGCGTTTTTATGTGTAGTCCTCTTTATAGGAGAGTATATAGCTGCACCTCTCTCAGAAGAAAAGGATGACAAAATTGTGATACCAAGACAAATATTCGATGACAATTTCATTAAATGTAAAGCAAAACATGATATCGTGGATGTTATGGTACCGTTGAATGCTTTTACCTTGAAGACTAAGATAGGTTTTGATTCTGATAGCAAGCCGGATATGACGGTTTTCCTAGTAGAAGCTGATCTTAAGGATGGCAAACGTGTTGACAAAGGACTGTACTTATATAAGAATGATGAGGTGAAAATGGTTCTGCCTAATGGAAGAGCAGCGGCGGCTTCATTTGATGATGAAAAAATAGTCTATTTCGGAGCCAGCGATGGTTTATATGTTTATAATGTTGACTCCAAGTCTGCTGATAAATATGGAAAATTTTCCGATAGCATTATCGATATCGCTACAAACGTAGATGGAAAACACATTTACATTCTGAGTGAAGATCACAAATTATATAATGTGACAAATGAAGGCGCAGACAAAGAGTTGCTCCAAGATGTAGAAGATGCCCAGGAAATTGTTTTGGATTATTTTGAAAATATTTACTTCTATGACTCGAATAAGGATGTATTCATTAAAAATGCTGATGGGATTATCAAAGTTCAGGGTCTACCGGAAGGCAGGAAATCCCTTAAGCTTTGGAACCCACTTTTAACAATACAGGGATGGGCTGTTTTGTTGGTAGACAACGCTCTATACGTAATCAATGCTAATGGAATTGCTATAGCAAGTGGACAGGAGTACAGCCCTAATGCGAAACCAACTGCTTTTGCCGCTTTTGCTAAAATAGTAGAGTGCCACGCATACAACAAAAATCTGTATGTAAATTATCTGTGAGCACTCGTAACTGAAGTAATAATTGGGGGTAAGGAAGAAGAAATTGTTAAAATTGCCAACAACGTTTAAAAACGCAAAAACTGTAATGCAAACACGTCTCGTTATTTAGTACAGACTGACTATATTAAGGTTTAGTACATTTCACAATAGATGTCGCTAGTAACATATTTATGTATTTTGATAAAATTGACCGCAACACCCCCACTTACATAATAAACTAAATTTTTCCATAAACTTCTGATGTTTAATTTTAGTTAACAACCCTTTAGTTAACAAATCTGCTGGCACTTCATTTGTGGATAAATAATAATTAATCTCTACTTTTCCACTCTTGATAGTCTCCCTAACAAAATGATGTTTAACATCTAAATGTTTTGATCTATTACGACATTGATGATTTGTAGCCATCTTTAATCTCCTTTGGTTATCACAATTTAGCTTAATAGTTAACAAAGACCCAGTTAATTCAAGCAATAGTTCTCTTAGATATATTGTGTCCCTACAAGCTTCAAAGATCGCAATATATTAAGCCTCTGTACTGGATAAGGCTGCAACTTTCTGCTTCCTACTCTGCCACTAAGCAGCTGTTCCTGACATTACAAAACAAAATCCACTGTAAGACTTTCTATCTGAGCTGTCAGTCGCCCAATCAGCATCAACATATAAAACAATATAAACTCTCACCTTGACAAATAAACTTTAAACAATACATTTTAATTTTCTTTAAGTACCTGAGAATTCCTTTAACATAGTTCCAATGTTCAATATGGTAGCAAGTATTAAATTGACTTAGATAACTAACAGAGTATGCAATACCACGTATTGTCATGACAGCCAAATACATAAGACAATCCAAGAGTTTTTGATAGCTAATTTGCTCTGTACATTTTTCTGCTTTTGTTATGTTCAATTTACTCTCTGTAATATTAAATGTTTGTCATAATTCTTCTGTGTACTGTTATCGTTCTATACTTATCTCATACAATGGGTTTCTTTTCATATCACACCTCATATGGAGTTTTGTCATTGAGACCGGATGCTATAGATCGATTTTTGTAGTACACAGCTGTTATATTTAGTGGCAGCGTTGGATGGCAAGGTTTATGAATTTAATATTATGGAAGCGATGGTTAAATCAATGTTCAGTTTCACTTCGGAATGGCCAAAAGATCTTACGAAACTTATCATGTCGATCATAGAGACGGGGAAGGACGAAATATATAAAGATTTCAATCATTTCTTTTGAAAATAACAATCAAATTGTATATATTTTACTAAGAGGCTGATCTGAGTCATAATAAAACGATAATAATGTATGTAATAAAACCTTTGTATTTTCTGTAAATAAATTGTTTATAACAAATGTTTATAATTATTTTGAGACCCAATCTGACTAACAATTTTAGAAAGTCACTAATGATTTTAGTTTAAATATTATTAGCGTTCATAATGGTCAATGGTTTTAAGTTTAAAATAATTTGATTTTAAATACCTTGAACTTTGAAAATTTCTAGCAGATTAATTATGTTAGTTTAATATATTTTAGGGATACTTTAACATAATACATATATCATTGATTTAATTTCCCTCGTCTTTGTGACATTATATAATTTATTGGATGATAAACCATCATATGATAAGGATAACTGGAGCTGTTCTCGATAAACCAGACATATTTAAAACAATTTACAAAACTTATATAAAAATGACCAAATTCTTTTTTGTTCACTGCAATATTTTGCATCCTGATTGCAAATTTTTGGTGAGTATTTCCTCTACAAGAATGGCTGACGAAATTATTTATTTATTTTTTTATGTACCAAAAAAAATTGTTACAATTACAGTATTAAAAAAGAAATGTGATGTACAAAGGATAGCTTATCAGTTAAGAGATATCACTACCAGAAACCCTTTTGAAAGAGGAAATAGGAAGAGAAATGTGGACTAGATAAAAAAAGAGAAAAGGTAAAAATAAAAAAGAGGTATATATATGAAAACAAACCAAATTATAATAGTATAAAATTCTGATATTATACTAACATAGATATATACATAAATATTTACGAATAGAATAAATAGATAAACGTTACATATTATATTAAGGTAAAAGTGACAGAAGATGTCTCTTAAGTCGATGTTTAAATGCAACTGCACTTGGACTCTCTCTGTAAAGAGAAGGAGAGAGTGAGTTTCATAGTTTTGCACCTTGGACGGAGAATTTATCTAAAATTCTTAATACGGATTTACGATAAAATTTTGTATTAAAGGAGGGAATATCAAGAGGATTTTGTGTAACACAAGAGCTAGGAAGGATTCTAGGGGAGGAAAATTTAAAACGCTCGAGTAGGTACGGGGGAGAAGAATGTTTGAACATATTGTACATTAGCGTTAAAACATGCATATTCCGGCGAAAGCGAATAGGGAACCACTTTAATTTGCTGAGGAATTCAGAATTGTGGTCGTACTTACGCAAGCCGGCAAGCAATTTGTTTTATAATTTTTCCTTGAAAATCACTCTTTCTTTTAGATAATTTAAAAGTAACCCAACATATTCATCAGTAATCGTTGGATAGTTATTAAGATGGTTTAAAAATGACAGAAAAAATATACATTCTCTGTTTTTACTTTTGGCTATATTTTTAATACCTTAAAATATAATAATACATATTTATATTAAGAATTAATATTAAGAATATTAAGAATTAATCGGACAAACAATATTAATATTAAGAATTAATCGGACAAACATTTGATCACATTGAGAAAACTTTAAAACATTCTAGGTGCCCAATGGATGGAGGGAGCATAAAGATTGCATCTAAACTTTTGTTTTTCTCTTGATGTATCCGATATTATTTAGAACATATACATATATAACGTAAGTCAATATTTTCTTAACATATAATATAATCGTGATAGTGATATACTTATTTATTGAGCTTTGACATAAGATAATACTCAGTTGCCCAGTAGAAAATTTTCATTGAATTTCCTCAGAAAATGTAATATATATATATATATAGCCGGTCTTTATAATATATGTGATAAAAAAGTTTATTATTTATTTAGATATATCTTATTTTTTATTGGTATTTTTTATTTACAGGTGGTAGAGTCCAGCTGTGGTCAAGTTACTAGCGCTCGAATGTGCTGGCTTGACCGGGGAAGTACCACCCTCTCACAGAAGATCGACGTCAAGTAGTCTTTAATGGCTGCCTTTCGTCCGCTGAGTGAGGGAGCCGGTTCCCTTTCCCTTTTCCCAACCTTTCCTACCCCTCCCTTTTCCTTCCTTTCCCACCTTTTCCTGCCCCTCTACCCCAATCAAGGGTGGCGACACATCAACACATCTCTTATGTTGCCTATGTCTATGGTCGATGTTACTACCTACCATCAGCAAGGCCGTCTGCTCGGTGGCCCCCTTTATCATAAAGAATGTATACATACTATCTACATTTCCTATTATTATAAATTTGTTTGTATGCTTATTTCTTCAACTTTTTTTTCTTCTTTCTTTACTGTCCATACACCATATTTCTTTTCTCATTTCCTCCATCAAAAGTATTTCGGGTAGAGATCTGTTGTCTTCTAAGAGACAAGTTATCCTATGATTTCTTTTAAAATACTATAACAATTCTTCTTTTGGTACATAAATAAATATTTATTTATTCATTCATTCACATTCACTGGTTCATTCATTCATTCATTCATTTGATAAACACCCTGTGAACATAATTGTCACCATTACTTCAGAAAATTGTTATCTCTTGCAGATGTTTAAAGGTAGTAGGAAAATTAATTCCATTTTTCACTGAAGTGTAAAGCAAAAATTAAAATTCACAAAATTCAACTTAATAACACAATATTTAAAAAAAAAATGTAATTAATAAGTTTTTTTTTTGTTTTTTACTAAAAATTCACTGGTTTATCCCGTGACTCATAGAAAACTTTTGTTATCAATGTTAAATATAAACATAAAGATACACGCGAATGGGACCTTTATATCTTGTAATTATTATTTGACAAAAAACAATAATGATAACAAGTATAAAATTGTAAGTTGCACATAGAAGAGCGCATATCTACTTTATACTCGAAGTTGGTAAGTGTAACAATTGATATATAGTAGCTTATCCGTGACTTCGCTTCATTTATTTCAGTTAAAAACATCTTCCGTATTATTCATTTTATTATTAATATAAATTGAATTTTGTTAATACTATCGCATCGTTGGAATATTTATATGTAATTGGGACTTTGATATAATTGCATAACAGTGTGAGCTTTTAACTTAAAATTATAAGAGTATACGACTTATTTATGTTAATGAATAGTGTGGGATGTGATATTTTTATTTCATTTTTTATTTTATTTTAATAGTTTATTCAAAATTATATTCATTTAGAAGGCTTCTTGTGAATATTACGATGGTTCTGTATTATTTAATTAATTTAATAATTATAACTAAGACGATTGAAAGAAACGATTCGAAGAAAGCCATGTGTGTTCTGTCATACTTACTATTAATACAATATATACATATAAGTGATAGTTTTGCACTTGTTTCAAATTGTTTATTAACTTTTTTAAATAAGTATTTCATTAAAACGATAAAATTTATTACTTCAGTAACTATAGGAATGTTACGATCGAGGAAATGAATCGAAATCTTTATATCAATTACATATAAACCATTTATTTTCTATTTATTTATGAAAGTCATATTGTCTGTTCACATTAATATTTATTCCATTTTGTAACTCATTATAAATAAGCTATATATTCCTTTTTTAATAATGATTGACGGTCGATTATTTTTAACAGTGTATACATACATATATTTGAAGTATATTTTATATGGAAGACTTGTAGTGACTCGATTGATAGTGGAAAAAAAAACATGAATATATTTTAAAATTTTTCATAAAAAAATTAGTAAATTAATGACAATTTCCACATGGAAACAACTTATTTAATACTTCTATGTATGGTTTATTTTATCAATAAATTTGACATGACTTAAATACAAAAACAGATAAGGTGTTTCATTTTATTTACAATACCTATGTGTATACTATATTTTTATTTAAAATAAACGTATTTATAATTTATATCGATACATTTTTGTTAAGTCGTTAAAAACATTGTAAACAGTGTTAAAATTAATCTCTGAAATTTTACAAGTAAAACATAATCCTTTAAACATTATTGTGTCTATATTATCCTTATTAATGTATTGTAATAATTATTTTCAGACTGGAAACATGAGAACACAAGCGTTTTTATGTGTAGTCCTCTTTATAGGAGGGTGTATAGCTGCACCTCTTTCAGAAGAAAATGATGACAAAATTGTGATAACAAGACACAAATTATACAATAAAAATCTCCTTAGATATAAAGCGAAATATGATATCGTTGATATTATGGTACCGTTGAATGCTCTTACCTTGGAGTCTATGAAAGATATTGATTCTGATAGCAAGCCGGATGTGACGGTTTTCTTAGTAGAAGCTGATCTTAAGAATGGCAAACGTGTTGACAAAGGACTGTACTTATATAAGAATGATGAGGTGAAAATGGTTCTGCCTAATGGAAGAGCAGCGGCGGCTTCATTTGATGATGAAAAAATAGTCTATTTCGGAGCCAGCGATGGTTTATATGTTTATAATGTGGACTCCAAGTCCGCTGTTAAATATGGAAAATTTTCCGATAGCATTATCGATATCGGTACAAACGTAGATGGAAAACATATTTACATTCTGAGTGAAGATCACAAATTATATAATGTGACAAATGAAGGCGCAGACAAAGAGTTGCTCCAAGATGTAGAAGATGCCCAGGAAATTGTTTTGGATTATTTTGAAAATATTTACTTCTATGACTCGAATAAGGATGTATTCATTAAAAATGCTGATGGGATTATCAAAGTTCAGGGTCTACCGGAAGGCAGGAAATCCCTTAAGCTTTGGAACCCACTTTTAACAATACAGGGATGGGCTGTTTTGTTGGTAGACAACGCTCTATACGTAATCAATGCTAATGGAATTGCTATAGCAAGTGGACAGGAGTACAGCCCTAATGCGAAACCAACTGCTTTTGCCGCTTTTGCTAAAATAGTAGAGTGCCACGCATACAACAAAAATCTGTATGTAAATTATCTGTGAGCACTCGTAACTGAAGTAATAATTGGGGGTAAGGAAGAAGAAATTGTTAAAATTGCCAACAACGTTTAAAAACGCAAAAACTGTAATGCAAACACGTCTCGTTATTTAGTACAGACTGACTATATTAAGGTTTAGTACATTTCACAATAGATGTCGCTAGTAACATATTTATGTATTTTGATAAAATTGACCGCAACACCCCCACTTACATAATAAACTAAATTTTTCCATAAACTTCTGATGTTTAATTTTAGTTAACAACCCTTTAGTTAACAAATCTGCTGGCACTTCATTTGTGGATAAATAATAATTAATCTCTACTTTTCCACTCTTGATAGTCTCCCTAACAAAATGATGTTTAACATCTAAATGTTTTGATCTTTTATGACATTGATGATTTGTAACCATCTTTAATGTCCTTTGGTTATCACAATTTAGCTTAATAGTTAACAAAGACCCAGTTAATTCAAGCAATAGTTCTCTTAGATATATTGTGTCCCTACAAGCTTCAGAGAGCGCAACATATTCAGCCTCTGTACTGGATAAGGCTGCAACTTTCTGCTTCCTACTCTGCCACTAAGCAGCTGTTCCTGACATTACAAAACAAAATCCACTGTAGGACTTTCTATCTAATCTGTCAGTCGCCCAATCAGCATCAACATGTAAAACAATATAAACTCTCACCTTGACAAATAAACTTTAAACAATACATTTTAATTTTCTTTAAGTACCTGAGAATTCCTTTAACATAGTTCCAATGTTCAATATGGTAGCAAGTATTAAATTGACTTAGATAACTAACAGAGTATGCAATACCACGTATTGTCATGACAGCCAAATACATAAGACAATCCAAGAGTTTTTGATAGCTAATTTGCTCTGTACATTTTTCTGCTTTTGTTATGTTCAATTTACTCTCTGTAATATTAAATGTTTGTCATAATTCTTCTGTGTACTGTTATCGTTCTATACTTATCTCATACAATGGGTTTCTTTTCATATCACACCTCATATGGAGTTTTGTCATTGAGACCGGATGCTATAGATCGATTTTTGTAGTACACAGCTGTTATATTTAGTGGCAGCGTTGGATGGTAAGGTTTATGAATTTAATATTATGGAAGCGATGGTTAAATCAATGTTCAGTTTCACTTCGGAATGGCCAAAAGATCTTACGAAACTTATCATGTCGATCATAGAGACGGGGAAGGACGAAATATATAAAGATTTCAATCATTTCTTTTGAAAATAACAATCAAATTGTATATATTTTACTAAGAGGCTGATCTGAGTCATAATAAAACGATAATAATGTATGTAATAAAACCTTTGTATTTTCTGTAAATAAATTGTTTATAACAAATGTTTATAATTATTTTGAGACCCAATCTGACTAACAATTTTAGAAAGTCGCTAATAATTTTAGATTTAATATTATTAGTTTTCATAATGGTGAATGGTTTTAATTATAAAATACCTTGAACTTTGAAAATTTCTAGCAGATTAATTATGTTAGTTTAATATATTTGAGGGATACTTTAACATAATACATATATCATTGATTTAATTTCCCTCGTTTTTGTGACATTATACAATTTATTGGATGATAAACCATCATATGATAAGGATAACTGGAGCTGTTCTCGATAAACCAGACATATTTAAAACAATTTACAAAACTTATATAAAAATGACCAAATTCTTTTTTGTTCACTGCAATATCTTGCATCCTGCTTGCAAATTTTTGGTGAGTGTTTCCTCTACAAGAATGGCTGATGAAATTATTTATTTATTAATAAAAAAAATTGTTACAATTACAGTATTATAAAAGAAATGTGATGTACAAAGGATAGCTTATCAGTTAAGAGATATCACTACCAGAAACCCTTTTGAAAGAGGAAATAAGAAGAGAAATGTGGACTAGATAAAAAAAAGAGAAAAGGTAAAAATAAAAAAGAGGTATATATATGAAAACAAACCAAATTATAATAGTATAAAATTCTGATATTATACTAACATAGATATATACATAAATATTTACGAATAGAAAAAATAGATAAACGTTACATATTATATTAAGGTAAAAGTGACAGAAGATGTCTCTTAAGTCGATGTTTAAATGCAACTGCACTTGGACTCTCTCTGTAAAGAGAAGGAGAGAGTGAGTTTCATAGTTTTGCGCCTTGGACGGAGAAGGATTTACGATAAAATTTTGTATTAAAGGAGGGAATATCAAGAGGATTTTGTGTAACACAAGAGCTAGGAAGGATTCTAGAGGAGGAAAATTTAAAATGCTCGAGTAGGTACGGGGGAGAAGAATGTTTGAACATATTGTACATTAGCGTTAAAACATGCATATTCCGGCGAAAGCGAATAGGGAACCACTTTAATTTGCTGAGGAATTCAGAATTGTGGTCGTATTTACGCAAGCCGGCAAGCAATTTATTTTATAATTATTCCTTGAAAATCAGTCTTTCTTTTAGATAATTTAAAAGTAACCCAACATATTCATCAGTAATCGTTGGATAGTTATTAAGATGGTTTAAAAATGACAGAAAAAATATACATTCTCTGTTTTTACTTTTGGCTATATTTTTAATACCTTAAAATATAATAATACATATTTATATTAAGAATTAATATTAAGAATATTAAGAATTAATCGGACAAACAATATTAATATTAAGAATAAATCGGACAAACATTTGATTACATTGAGAAAACTTTAAAACATTCTAGGTGCCCAATGGATGGAGGGAGCATAAAGATTGCATCTAAACTTTTGTTTTTCTCTTGATGTATCCGATATTATTTAGAACATATACATATATAACGTAAGTCAATATTTTCTTAACATATAATATAATCGTGATAGTGATATACTTATTTATTGAGCTTTGACATAAGATAATACTCAGTTGCCCAGTAGAAAATTTTCATTGAATTTCCTCAGAAAATGTAATATATATATATATATAGCCGGTCTTTATAATATATGTGATAAAAAAGTTTATTATTTATTTAGATATATCTTATTTTTTATTGGTATTTTTTATTTACAGGTGGTAGAGCCCAGCTGTGGTCAAGTTACTAGCGCTCGAAAGTGCTGGCTTGACCGGGGAAGTACCACCCTCTCACAGAAGATCGACGTCAAGTAGTCTTTAATGGCTGCCTTTCGTCCGCTGAGTGAGGGAGCCGGTTCCCTTTCCCTTTTCCCATCCTTTCCTACCCCTCCCTTTTTCTTCCTTTCCCACCTTTTCCTGCCCCTCTACCCCAATCAAGGATGGCGACATATCAACACATCTCTTATGTTGCCTATGTCTATGGTCGATGTTACTACCTACCATCAGCAAGGCCGTCTGCTCGGTGGTCCCCTTTATCATAAAGAATGTATACATACTATCTACATTTCCTATTATTATAAATTTGTTTGTATGCTTATTTCTTCAACTTTTTTTAATTCTTTCTTTACTGTCCATACACCATATTTCTTTTCTCATTTCCTCTATCAAAAGGATTTCGGGTAGAGATCTGTTGTCTTCTAAGAGACAAGTTATCCTATGATTTCTTTTAAAATACTATAATAATTCTTCTGTTGGTACATAAATAAATATTTATTTATTCATTCATTCACATTCACTGGTTCATTCATTCATTCATTCATTTGATAAACACCCTGTGAACATAATTGTCACCATTACTTCAGAAAATTGTTATCTCTTGCAGATGTTTAAAGGTAGTAGGAAAATTAATTCCATTTTTCACTGAAGTGTAAAGCAAAAATTAAAATTCACAAAATTCAACTTAATAACACAATATTAAAAAAAAAAATAATGTAATTAATAACTATTATTTTTGTTTTTTACTAAAAATTCACTGGTTTATCCCGTAACTCATAATAAACTTTTGTTATCAATGTTAAATATAAACATAAACATACACGCGAATGGGACCTTTATATCTTGTAATTATTATTTGACAAAAAACAATAATGATAACAAGTATAAAATTGTAAGTTGCACATAGAAGAGCGCATATCTACTTTATACTCGTAGTTGGTAAGTGTAACAATTCATATATAGTAGCTTATCCGTGACTTCGCTTCATTTATTTCAGTTAAAAACATCTTGCGTATTATTCATTTTATTATTAATATAAATTGAATTTTGTTAATACTATCGTATCGTTGGAATATTTATATGTAATTGGGATTTTGATATAATTGCATAACAGTGTGAGCTTTTAATTTAAAATTATAAGAGTATACGACTTATTTATGTTAATCAATATTGTGGGATGTGATATTTTTATTTCATTTTTCATTTTTTTTTATTTTATTTTAATAGTTTATTCAAAATTATATTGATTTAGAAGGCTAATAAGTTTTTGTTTTGAATGCTAGATTCGTGGTTTTTCTTGTGAATATTACGATGGTTCTGTATTATTTAATTAATTTAATAATTATAACTAAGACGATTGAAAGAAACGATTCGAAGAAAGCCATGTGTGTTCTGTCATACTTACTATTAATACAATATATAAGTGATAGTTTTGCACTTATTTTAAATTGTTTATTAACTTATATTATCTTATGTAGTGTAGTTAGTTAGGTGATATATTAAACACTTAATAATTAATCATTGTGAAAAATTTACCCTAAAAGTCGTTAATGTAGAAAATATTTAAGCTTAAAATTTTATTTATTCAATTTTGTAACTCATAAATTTTTACATTTTAAAATTTAAATTTTTTTACATTTTATATGGAAGACTTATAGTGACTCGATTGATTCTGGAAATAAAAAAAATTTTCAGTTTTTTTCATAAAACAATAAGTAAATTAATGAAAATTTCCATATGGAAACAACTTATTTAATACTTCTACGAATGGTTTATTTTATCAATGAATTTTGACATGACTTAAATACAAAAACAGATATTGTGTTTCGTTTTACTTACAATACCTATATGCTATATATCAACACATTTTTTGTTAAGTCGTTAAAATCATTGTAAACAGTGTTAAAATTAATCTCTGAAATTTTACAAGTAAAACATAACCCTTTAAATATTATTGTGTCTATATTATCCTTATTAATGTATTGTAATAATTATTTTCAGACTGGAAAAATGAGAACACAAGCGTTTTTATGTGTAGTCCTCTTTATAGGAGGGTATATAGCTGCACCTCTCTCAGAAGAAAAGGATGACAAAATTGTGATCTTGTTATCAAGACACATATTATTCAATAAAAATTACCTTAAATATAAAGCGAAACATGATATCGTTGATATTATGGTACCGTTGACTGCTCTTACCTTGGAGTCTATGAAAGATATTGATTTTGATAGCAAGCCGGATATGGCGGTTTTCTTAGTAGAAGCTGATCTTAAGAATGGCAAACGTGTTGACAAAGGACTGTACTTATATAAGAATGGTGAGGAGAAAATGGTTCTGCCTAATGGAAGAGCAGCGGCGGCTTCATTTAATGATGAAGAAATAGTCTATTTCGGAGCCAGCGATGGTTTATATGTTTATAATGTGGACTCCAAGTCCGCTGTTAAATATGGAAATTTTTCCGATAGCATTATCGATATCGCTACAAACGTAGATGGAAAACACATTTACATTCTGAGTGAAGATCACAAATTATATAATGTGACAAATGAAGGCGCAGACAAAGAGTTGCTCCAAGATGTAGAAGATGCCCAGGAAATTGTTTTGGATTATTTTGAAAATATTTACTTCTATGACTCCAACAAGGATGTATTCATTAAAAATGCTGATGGGATTATCAAAGTTCGGGGTCTACCGAAAGGCAGGAAATCCCTTAAGTTTTTGGGCCAAGATTTCCTTAAAGTGCGATATGTTATTTTGATGACAGACAACGTTCTTTACGTTATCTTTGCTAATGGAATGGCTTTTGCAAGTCCTGTGGAATTGAGCCCTAATGCGAAACCAACTGCTTATGGCCTTTGGTCCGAAATAGTGCATTACTACGCATACAACAAAAATCTGTATGTAAAATATCTGTGAGCACTCGTAACTGAAGTAATAATTGGGGGTAAGGAAGAAGAAATTGTTAAAATTGCCAACAACGTTTAAAAACGCAAAAACTGTAATGCAAACACGTCTCGTTATTTAGTACAGACTGACTATATTAAGGTTTAGTACATTTCACAATAGATGTCGCTAGTAACATATTTATGTATTTTGATAAAATTGACCGCAACACCCCCACTTACATAATAAACTAAATTTTTCCTTAAACTTCTGATGTTTAATTTTAGTTAACAACCCTTTAGTTAACAAATCTGCTGGCACTTCATTTGTGGATAAATAATAATTAATCTCTACTTTTCCACTCTTGATAGTCTCCCTAACAAAATGATGTTTAACATCTAAATGTTTTGATCTATTACGACATTGATGATTTGTAGCCATCTTTAATCTCCTTTGGTTATCACAATTTAGCTTAATAGTTAACAAAGACCCAGTTAATTCAAGCAATAGTTCTCTTAGATATATTGTGTCCCTACAAGCTTCGAAGATCGCAATATATTAAGCCTCTGTACTGGATAAGGCTGCAACTTTCTGCTTCCTACTCTGCCACTAAGCAGCTGTTCCTGACATTACAAAACAAAATCCACTGTAGGACTTTCTATCTAATCTGTCAGTCGCCCAATCAGCATCAACATGTAAAACAATATAAACTCTCACCTTGACAAATAAACTTTAAACAATACATTTTAATTTTCTTTAAGTACCTGAGAATTCCTTTAACATAGTTCCAATGTTCAATATGGTAGCAAGTATTAAATTGACTTAGATAACTAACAGAGTATGCAATACCACGTATTGTCATGACAGCCAAATACATAAGACAATCCAAGAGTTTTTTGATAGCTAATTTGCTCTGTACATTTTTCTGCTTTTGTTATGTTCAATTTACTCTCTGTAATATTAAATGTTTGTCATAATTCTTCTGTGTACTGTTATCGTTCTATACTTATCTCATACAATGGGTTTCTTTTCATATCACACCTCATATGGAGTTTTGTCATTGAGACCGGATGCTATAGATCGATTTTTGTAGTACACAGCTGTTATATTTAGTGGCAGCGCTGGATGGCAAGGTTTATGAATTTAATATTATGGAAGCGATGGTTAAATCAATGTTCAGTTTCACTTCGGAATGGCCAAAAGATCTTACGAAACTTATCATGTCGATCATAGAGACGGGGAAGGACGAAATATATAAAGATTTCAATCATTTCTTTTGAAAATAACAATCAAATTGTATATATTTTACTAAGAGGCTGATCTGAGTCATAATAAAACGATAATAATGTATGTAATAAAACCTTTGTATTTTCTGTAAATAAATTGTTTATAACAAATGTTTATAATTATTTTGAGACCCAATCTGACTAACAATTTTAGAAAGTCGCTAATAATTTTAGATTTAATATTATTAGCGTTCATAATGGTCAATGGTTTAAAGTTTAAAATAATTTGATTTTAAATACCTTGAACTTTGAAAATTTCTAGCAGATTAATTAAGTTAGTTTAATATATTTGAGGGATACTTTAACATAATACATATATCATTGTTTTAATTTCCCTCGTTTTTGTGACATTATATAATTTATTGGATGATAAACCATCATATGATAAGGATAACTGGAGCTGTTCTCGATAAACCAGACATATTTAAAACAATTTACAAACTTTATATAAAAATGAGCTAATTCTTTTTTGTTCACTGCAATATCTTGCATCCTGCTTGCAAATTTTTGGTGAGTTTTTCCTCTACAAGAATGGCTGACGAAATTATTTATTTATTTTTTTATGTACCAAAAAAAATTGTTACAATTACAGTATTATAAAAGAAATGTGATGTACAAAGGATAGCTTATCAGTTAAGAGATATCACTACCAGAAACCCTTTTGAAAGAGGAAATAGGAAGAGAAATGTGGACTAGATAAAAAAAAGAGAAAAGGTAAAAATAAAAAAGAGGTATATATATGAAAACAAACCAAATTATAATAGTATAAAATTCTGATATTATACTAACATAGATATATACATAAATCTTTACGAATAGAATAAATAGATAAACGTTACATATTATATTAAGGTAAAAGTGACAGAAGATGTCTCTTAAGTCGATGTTTAAATGCAACTGCACTTGGACTCTCTCTGTAAAGAGAAGGAGAGAGTGAGTTTCATAGTTTTGCGCCTTGGACGGAGAATGATTTACGATAAAATTTTGTATTAAAGGAGGGAATATCAAGAGGATTTTGTGTAACACAAGAGCTAGGAAGGATTCTAGGGGAGGAAAATTTAAAACGCTCGAGTAGGTACGGGGGAGAAGAATGTTTGAACATATTGTACATTAGCGTTAAAACATGCATATTCCGGCGAAAGCGAATAGGGAACCACTTTAATTTGCTGAGGAATTCAGAATTGTGGTCGTATTTACGCAAGCCGGCAAGCAATTTATTTTATAATTATTCCTTGAAAATCACTCTTTCTTTTAGATAATTTAAAAGTAACCCAACATATTCATCAGTAATCGTTGGATAGTTATTAAGATGGTTTAAAAATGACAGAAAAAATATACATTCTCTGTTTTTACTTTTGGCTATATTTTTAATACCTTAAAATATAATAATACATATTTATATTAAGAATTAATATTAAGAATATTAAGAATTAATCGGACAAACAATATTAATATTAAGAATTAATCGGACAAACATTTGATCACATTGAGAAAACTTTAAAACATTCTAGGTGCCCAATGGATGGAGGGAGCATAAAGATTGCATCTAAACTTTTGTTTTTCTCTTGATGTATCCCATATTATTTAGTACATATATATAACGTAAGCCAATATTTTCTTAACATATAATATAATTGTGATAGTGATATACTTATTTATTGAGCTTTGACATAAGATTATACTCAGTTGCCCAGTAGAAAATTTTCATTGAATTTCCTCAGAAAATGTAATATATATATACCCGGTGTTTATAATATCCAGGGTGACTGGTGAATTACTATCAATATTTAAGGAGAATACGCGGTACATGATTCTCATTCCAATTATGTAAAAAAAATAGGTACTTAATTTTTGACAAAATTTCCCTATAAATAAATAAAGTGTTGACACGTTCCAAGTGTTCAAGTGTGGACGCGTGCGGCGGCGTGCTGATACAACACCACGTCACGACACGCGTATGTGTGAGTGTCAGTGTATACCTAATCTGTAGGGTGTTCATACGATGCGTAATTAATTACACAACTTTTGGTTAACTTTACTTAGAAGTTTATTAATATTTATGTTATATTAATTTTTATTTTGTCATATATGATCGTCAAATATCACGTCCTCAAATATCGATAGTAATTCACCAGTCATCCTGTATATACCCGGGCTTGTAATATATGTGATAAAAAAGTTTATTATTTATTTAGATATATCTTATTTTTTATTGGTATTTTTATTTAAAGACGGTAGAGTCCAGCTGTGGTCAAGTTACTAGCGCTCGAATGTGCTGGCTTGACCGGGGAAGTACCACCCTCTCACAGAAGATCGACGTCAAGTAGTCTTTAATGGCTGCCTTTCGTCCGCTGAGTGAGAGAGCCGGTTCCCTTACCCTTTTCCCATCCTTTCCTACCCCTTCCCTTTTCCTTCCTTTCCCACCTTTCCTGCCCCTCTACCCCAATCAAGGGTGGCGACACATCAACACATCTCTTATGTTGCCTATGTCTATGGTCGATGTTACTACCTACCATCAGCAAGGCCGTCTGCTCGGTGGTCCCCTTTATCATAAAGAATGTATACATACTATCTACATTTCCTATTATTATAAATTTGTTTGTATGCTTATTTCTTCAACTTTTTTTACTTCTTTCTTTACTGTCCATACACCATATTTCTTTTCTCATTTCCTCTATCAAAAGGATTTCGGGTAGAGATCTGTTGTCTTCTAAGAGACAAGTTATCCTATGATTTCTTTTAAAATACTATAATAATTCTTCTTTTGGTACATAAATAAATATTTATTTATTCATTCATTCACATTCACTGGTTCATTCATTCATTCATTCATTTGATAAACACCCTGTGAACATAATTGTCACCATTACTTCAGAAAATTGTTATCTCTTGCAGATGTTTAAAGGTAGTAGGAAAATTAATTCCATTTTTCACTGAAGTGTAAAGCAAAAATTAAAATTCACAAAATTCAACTTAATAACACAATATTTAAAAAAAAAATAATGTAATTAATAAGTATTATTTTTGTTTTTTACTAAAAATTCACTGGTTTATCCCGTGACTCATAGAAAACTTTTGTTATCAATGTTAAATATAAACATAAAGATACACGCGAATGGGACCTTTATATCTTGTAATTATTATTTGACAAAAAACAATAATGATAACAAGTATAAAATTGTAAGTTGCACATAGAAGAGCGCATATCTACTTTATACTCGTAGTTGGTAAGTGTAACAATTGATATATAGTAGCTTATCCGTGACTTCGCTTCATTTATTTCAGTTAAAAACATCTTGCGTATTATTCATTTTATTATTAATATAAATTGAATTTTGTTAATACTATCGTATCGTTGGAATATTTATATGTAATTGGGATTTTGATATAATTGCATAACAGTGTGAGCTTTTAATTTAAAATTATAAGAGTATACGACTTATTTATGTTAATCAATATTGTGGGATGTGATATTTTTATTTCATTTTTCATTTTTTTTATTTTATTTTAATAGTTTATTCAAAATTATATTGATTTAGAAGGCTAATAAGTTTTGTTTTGAATGCTAGATTCGTGGTTTTTCTTGTGAATATTACGATGGTTCTGTATTATTTAATTAATTTAATAATTATAACTAAGACGATTGAAAGAAACGATTCGAAGAAAGCCATGTGTGTTCTGTCATACTTACTATTAATACAATATATAAGTGATAGTTTTGCACTTATTTTAAATTGTTTATTAACTCATATTATCTTATCTAGTGTAGTTAGTTAGGTGATATATTAAACACTTAATAATTAATCATTGTAAAAAATTTACCCTAAAAGTCGTTAATGTAGAAAATATTTAAGCTTAAAATTTTATTTATTCAATTTTGTAACTCATAAATAAGCTATATATTACTATTTTTAATAATGATTGACGGTCAAGCATTTTAGACACTGTAGACTTATAGTGACTCGATTGATACTGAGAAAAAAAAAATATTTTTTCAATTTTTTTCATAAAAAAATAAGTAAATTAATGTCAATTTCCACATGGAAACAACTTATTTAATACCTCTACGTATGGTTTATTTTATCGATGAATTTTGACATGACTTAAATAAAAAAACAGATATTGTGTTTCGTTTTAGTTACAATACCTATATACTATATATCAATACATTTTTTGTTAAGTCGTTAAAATCATTGCAAACAGTGTTAAAATTAATCTCTAAAATTTTACAAGTAAAACATAATCCTTTAAACATTATTGTGTCTATATTATCCTTATTAATGTATTGTAATAATTATTTTCAGACTGGAAAAATGAGAACACAAGCGTTTTTATGTGTAGTCCTCTTTATAGGAGAGTATATAGCTGCACCTCTCTCAGAAGAAAAGGATGACAAAATTGTGATACCAAGACACATATTATTCAATAAAAATTACCTTAAATATAAAGCGAAACATGATATCGTTGATATTATGGTACCGTTGAATGCTCTTACCTTGGAGTCTATGAAAGATATTGATTCTGATAGCAAGCCGGATATGACGGTTTTCTTAGTAGAAGCTGATCTTAAGGATGGCAAACGTGTTGACAAAGGACTGTACTTATATAAGAATGGTGAGGAGAAAATGGTTCTGCCTAATGGAAGAGCAGCGGCGGCTTCATTTGATGATGAAAAAATAGTCTATTTCGGAGCCAGCGATGGTTTATATGTTTATAATGTGGACTCCAAGTCCGCTGATAAATATGGAAATTTTTCCGATAGCATTATCGATATCGCTACAAACGTAGATGGAAAACACATTTACATTCTGAGTGAAGATCACAAATTATATAATGTGACAAATGAAGGCGCAGACAAAGAGTTGCTCCAAGATGTAGAAGATGCCCAGGAAATTGTTTTGGATTATTTTGAAAATATTTACTTCTACGACTCCAACAAGGATGTATTCATTAAAAATGCTGATGGGATTATCAAAGTTCAGGGTCTACCGGAAGGCAGGAAATCCCTTAGGTTTTTGGGCCAAGATTTCCTTAAAGAGCCATATGTTATTTTGATGACAGACAACGTTTTTTTTACGCAATCATTGCTAATGGAATTGCTTATGCAATGAATGTGGAATTAAGCCCTGATGCGAAACCAACTGCTTATGGCGTTTGGTCCGAAATAGTGCATTACTACGCATACAACAAAAATCTGTATGAATTTTATATGTGAGCACTTTTAACTGAAGTAATAATTGGGGGTAAGGAAGAAGAAATTGTTAAAATTGCCAACAACGTTTAAAAACGCAAAAACAGTAATGAAAACACGTCTCGTTATTTAGTACAGACTGACTATATTAAGGTTTAGTACATTTCACAATAGATGTCGCTAGTAACATTTTTATCTATTTTGATAAAATTGACCGCAACACCCCCACTTACATAATAAACTAAATTTTTTCATAAACTTCTGATGTTTAATTTTAGTTAACAACCCTTTAGTAAACAAATCTGCTGGCACTTCATTTGTGGATAATTAATAATTAATCTCTACTTTTCCACTCTTGATAGTCTCCCTAACAAAATGATGTTTAACATCTAAATGTTTCGATCTATGTATTATGACATTGATGATTTGTAGCCATCTTTAATGCCCTTTGGTTATCACAATTTAGCTTAATAGTTAACAAAGACCCAGTTAATTCAAGCAATAGTTTCTCTTAGATATATTGTGTCCCTACAAGCTTCAGAGATCGCAATATATTAAGCCTTTGTACTGGATAATGCTGCAACTTTCTGCTTCCTACTCTGCCACTAAGCAGCTGTTCCTGACATTACAAAACAAAATCCACTGTAGGACTTTCTATCTAATCTGTCAGTCGCCCAATCAGCATCAACATGTAAAACAATATAAACTCCTACCTTGACAAATAAACTTTAAACAATACATTTTAATTTTCTTTAAGTACCTGAGAATTCCTTTAACATAGTTCAAATGTTCAATATGGTAGCAAGTATTATATTGACTTAGATAACTAACAGAGTATGCAATACCACGTCTTGTCATGACAGCCATATACGAGTACATAAGACAACCCAAGAGTTTTTGATAACTAATTTGCTCTGTACATTTTTCTGCTTTTGTTATGTTCAATTTACTCTCTGTAATATTAAATGTTTGTCATAATTCTTCTGTGTACTGTTATCGTTCTATACTTATCTCATACAATGGGTTTCTTTTCATATCACACCTCATATGGAGTTTTGTCTTTGAGACCGGATGCTATAGATCGATTTTTGTAGTACACAGCTGTTATACATATTTAGTGGCAGCGTTGGATGGTAAGGTTTATGAAATTTAATATTATGTAAGCGATGGTGAAATCAATGTTCAGTTTCACTTCTTCAAAAGATCTTACGAAACTTATCATGTCGATCATAGAGACGGGGAAGGACGAAATATATAAAGATTTCAATCATTTCTTTTGAAAATTACAATCAAATTGTATATATTTTACTAAGAGGCTGATCTGAGTCATAATAAAACGATAATAATGTATGTAATAAAACCTTTGTATTTTTTGTAAAGAAATTGTTTATACCAAATATTTATAATTATTTTGAGACCCAATCTGACTAACAATTTTAGAAAGTCACTAATGATTTTAGTTTAAATATTATTAGCGTTCATAATGGTCAATGGTTTTAAGTTTAAAATAATTTGATTTTAAATACCTTGAACTTTGAAAATTTCTGGCAGATTAATTATGTTAGTTTAATATATTTGAGGGATACTTTAACATAATACATATATCATTGTTTTAATTTCCCTCGTCTTTGTGACATTATATAATTTATTGAATGATAAACCATCATATGATAAGGATAACTGGAGCTGTTCTCGATAAACCAGACATATTTAAAACAATTTACAAACTTTATATAAAAATGACCAAACTCTTTTTTGTTCACTGCAATATCTTGCATCCTGCTTGCAAATTTTTGGTGAGTATTTCCTCTACAAGAATGGCTGACGAAATTATTTATTTATTTTTTTATGTACCAAAAAAAATTGTTACAATTACAGTATTATAAAAGAAATGTGATGTACAAAGGATAGCTTATCAGTTAAGAGATATCACTACCAGAAACCCTTTTGAAAGAGGAAATAGGAAGAGAAATGTGGACTAGATAAAAAAAGAGAAAAGGTAAAAATAAAAAAGAGGTATATATATGAAAACAAACCAAATTATAATAGTATAAAATTCTGATATTATACTAACATAGATATATACATAAATATTTACGAATAGAATAAATAGATAAACGTTACATATTATATTAAGGTAAAAGTGACAGAAGATGTCTCTTAAGTCGATGTTTAAATGCAACTGCACTTGGACTCTCTCTGTAAAGAGAAGGAGAGAGTGAGTTTCATAGTTTTGCGCCTTGGACGGAGAAGGATTTACGATAAAATTTTGTATTAAAGGAGGGAATATCAAGAGGATTTTGTGTAACACAAGAGCTAGGAAGGATTCTAGGGGAGGAAAATTTAAAACGCTCGAGTAGGTACGGGGGAGAAGAATGTTTGAACATATTGTACATTAGCGTTAAAACATGCATATTCCGGCGAAAGCGAGTAGGGAACCACTTTAATTTGCTGAGGAATTCAGAATTGTGGTCGTACTTACGCAAGCCGGCAAGCAATTTATTTTATAATTTTTCCTTGAAAATCACTTTTTCTTTTAGATAATTTAAAAGTAACCCAACATATTTATCAGTAATCGTTGGATAGTTATTAAGATGGTTTAAAAATGACAGAAAAAATATGCATACTTTGTTTTTACTTTTGGCTATATTTTTAATACCTTAAAATATAATAATACATATTTATATTAAGAATTAATATTAAGAATATTAAGAATTAATCGGACAAACCATATTAATATTAAGAATTGATCGGTAAAACATTTGATCACATTGATAATACTTTAAAACATTCTAGGTGCCCAATGGATGGAGGGAGCATAAAGATTGCATCTAAACTTTTGTTTTTCTCTTGATGTATCCCATATTATTTAGTACATATATATAACGTAAGCCAATATTTTCTTAACATATAATATAATTGTGATAGTGATATACTTATTTATTGAGCTTTGACATAAGATTATACTCAGTTGCCCAGTAGAAAATTTTCATTGAATTTCCTCAGAAAATGTAATATATATATACCCGGTGTTTATAATATCCAGGGTGACTGGTGAATTACTATCAATATTTAAGGAGAATACGCGGTACATGATTCTCATTCCAATTATGTAAAAAAAATAGGTACTTAATTTTTGACAAAATTTCCCTATAAATAAATAAAGTGTTGACACGTTCCAAGTGTTCAAGTGTGGACGCGTGCGGCGGCGTGCTGATACAACACCACGTCACGACACGCGTATGTGTGAGTGTCAGTGTATACCTAATCTGTAGGGTGTTCATACGATGCGTAATTAATTACACAACTTTTGGTTAACTTTACTTAGAAGTTTATTAATATTTATGTTATATTAATTTTTATTTTGTCATATATGATCGTCAAATATCACGTCCTCAAATATCGATAGTAATTCACCAGTCATCCTGTATATACCCGGGCTTGTAATATATGTGATAAAAAAGTTTATTATTTATTTAGATATATCTTATTTTTTATTGGTATTTTTATTTAAAGACGGTAGAGTCCAGCTGTGGTCAAGTTACTAGCGCTCGAATGTGCTGGCTTGACCGGGGAAGTACCACCCTCTCACAGAAGATCGACGTCAAGTAGTCTTTAATGGCTGCCTTTCGTCCGCTGAGTGAGAGAGCCGGTTCCCTTACCCTTTTCCCATCCTTTCCTACCCCTTCCCTTTTCCTTCCTTTCCCACCTTTCCTGCCCCTCTACCCCAATCAAGGGTGGCGACATATCAACACATCTCTTATGTTGCCTATGTCTATGGTCGATGTTACTACCTACCATCAGCAAGGCCGTCTGCTCGGTGGTCCCCTTTATCATAAAGAATGTATACATACTATCTACATTTCCTATTATTATAAATTTGTTTGTATGCTTATTTCTTCAACTTTTATTACTTCTTTCTTTACTGTCCATACACCATATTTCTTTTCTCATTTCCTCTATCAAAAGGATTTCGGGTAGAGATCTGTTGTCTTCTAAGAGACAAGTTATCCTATGATTTCTTTTAAAATACTATAATAATTCTTCTTTTGGTACATAAATAAATATTTATTTATTCATTCATTCACATTCACTGGTTCATTCATTCATTCATTCATTTGATAAACACCCTGTGAACATAATTGTCACCATTACTTCAGAAAATTGTTATCTCTTGCAGATGTTTAAAGGTAGTAGGAAAATTAATTCCATTTTTCACTGAAGTGTAAAGCAAAAATTAAAATTCACAAAATTCAACTTAATAACACAATATTTAAAAAAAAATAATGTAATTAATAACTATTATTTTTGTTTTTTACTAAAAATTCACTGGTTTATCCCGTGACTCATAGAAAACTTTTGTTATCAATGTTAAATATAAACATAAAGATACGCGCGAATGGGACCTTTATATCTTGTAATTATTATTTGACAAAAAACAATAATGATAACAAGTATAAAATTGTAAGTTGCACATAGAAGAGCGCATATCTACTTTATACTCGTAGTTGGTAAGTGTAACAATTGATATATAGTAGCTTATCCGTGACTTCGCTTCATTTATTTCAGTTAAAAACATCTTGCGTATTATTCATTTTATTATTAATATAAATTGAATTTTGTTAATACTATCGTATCGTTGGAATATTTATATATAATTGGCATTTTGATATAATTGCATAACAGTGTGATTTTTTAATTTAAAATTATAAGAGTATACGACTTATTTATGTTAATCAATATTGTGGGATGTGATATTTTTATTTCATTTTTCATTTTTTTTTTATTTTATTTTAATAGTTTATTCAAAATTATATTGATTTAGAAGGCTAATAAGTTTTGTTTTGAATGCTAGATTCGTGGTTTTTCTTGTGAATATTACGATGGTTCTGTATTATTTAATTAATTTAATAATTATAACTAAGACGATTGAAAGAAACGATTCGAAGAAAGCCATGTGTGTTCTGTCATACTTACTATTAATACAATATATATAAGTGATAGTTTTGCACTTATTTTAAATTGTTTATTAACTTATATTATCTTATGTAGTGTAGTTAGTTAGGTGATATATTAAACACTTAATAATTAATCATTGTGAAAAAATTACCCAAAAAGTCGTTAATATAGAAAATATTTAAGTTTAAAATTTTATTTATTCAATTTTGTAACTCATAAATAAGCTATATATTACTATTTTTAATAATGATTGACGGTCAAGCATTTTAAACATTGTAGACTTATAGTGACTCGATTAATACTGGGAAAAAATATATATTTTTTTCAATTTTTTTCATAAAAAAATAAGTAAATTAATGTCAATTTCCACATGGAAACAACTTATTTAATACCTCTACGTATGGTTTATTTTATCGATGAATTTTGACATGACTTAAATAAAAAAACAGATATTGTGTTTCGTTTTAGTTACAATACCTATATACTATATACCAATACATTTTTGTTAAGTCGTTAAAATCATTGCAAACAGTGTTAAAATTAATCTCTAAAATTTTACAAGTAAAACATAATCCTTTAAACATTAATGTGTCTATATTATCCTTATTAATGTATTGTAATAATTATTTTCAGACTGGAAAAATGAGAACACAAGCGTTTTTATGTGTAGTCCTCTTTATAGGAGGGTATATAGCTGCACCTCTCTCAGAAGAAAAGGATGATAAAATTGTGATCTTGTTATCAAGACACATATTATTCAATAAAAATTACCTTAAATATAAAGCGAAACATGATATCGTTGATATTATGGTACCGTTGACTGCTCTTACCTTGGAGTCTATGAAAGATATTGATTTTGATAGCAAGCCGGATATGACGGTTTTCTTAGTAGAAGCTGATCTTAAGGATGGCAAACGTATTGACAAAGGACTGTACTTATATAAGAATGGTGAGGAGAAAATGGTTCTGCCTAATGGAAGAGCAGCGGCGGCTTCATTTAATGATGAAAAAATAGTCTATTTCGGAGCCAGCGATGGTTTATATGTTTATAATGTGGACTCCAAGTCCGCTGATAAATATGGAAATTTTTCCGATAGCATTATCGATATCGCTACAAACGTAGATGGAAAACACATTTACATTCTGAGTGAAGATCACAAATTATATAATGTGACAAATGAAGGCGCAGACAAAGAGTTGCTCCAAGATGTAGAAGATGCCCAGGAAATTGTTTTGGATTATTTTGAAAATATTTACTTCTATGACTCCAACAAGGATGTATTCATTAAAAATGCTGATGGGATTATCAAAGTTCGGGGTCTACCGAAAGGCAGGAAATCCCTTAAGTTTTTGGGCCAAGATTTCCTTAAAGTGCGATATGTTATTTTGATGACAGACAACGTTCTTTACGTTACCTTTGCTAATGGAATTGCTTTTACAAGTTCTGTGGAATTGAGCCCTGATGCGAAACCAACTGCTTATGGCCTTTGGTCCAAAATAGTGCATTACTACGCATACAACAAAAATCTGTATGTAAAATATCTGTGAGCACTCGTAACTGAAGTAATAATTGGGGGTAAGGAAGAAGAAATTGTTAAAATTGCCAACAACGTTTAAAAACGCAAAAACTGTAATGCAAACACGTCTCGTTATTTAGTACAGACTGACTATATTAAGGTTTAGTACATTTCACAATAGATGTCGCTAGTAACATATTTATGTATTTTGATAAAATTGACCGCAACACCCCGGCTTACCAAATAAACAAAATTTTTCCATAAACTTCTGATGTTTAATTTTAGTTAACAACCCTTTAGTTAACAAATCTGCTGGCACTTCATTTGTGGATAAATAATAATTAATCTCTACTTTTCCACTCTTGATAGTCTCCCTAACAAAATGATGTTTAACATCTAAATGTTTTGATCTATTACGACATTGATGATTTGTAGCCATCTTTAATCTCCTTTGGTTATCACAATTTAGCTTAATAGTTAACAAAGACCCAGTTAATTCAAGCAATAGTTCTCTTAGATATATTGTGTCCCTACAAGCTTCAAAGATCGCAATATATTAAGCCTCTGTACTGGATAAGGCTGCAACTTTCTGCTTCCTACTCTGCCACTAAGCAGCTGTTCCTGACATTACAAAACAAAATCCACTGTAAGACTTTCTATCTGAGCTGTCAGTCGCCCAATCAGCATCAACATATAAAACAATATAAACTCTCACCTTGACAAATAAACTTTAAACAATACATTTTAATTTTCTTTAAGTACCTGAGAATTCCTTTAACATAGTTCCAATGTTCAATATGGTAGCAAGTATTAAATTGACTTAGATAACTAACAGAGTATGCAATACCACGTCTTGTCATGACAGCCATATACGAGTACATAAGACAACCCAAGAGTTTTTGATAACTAATTTGCTCTGTACATTTTTCTGCTTTTGTTATGTTCAATTTACTCTCTGTAATATTAAATGTTTGTCATAATTCTTCTGTGTACTGTTATCGTTCTATACTTATCTCATACAATGGGTTTCTTTTCATATCACACCTCATATGGAGTTTTGTCATTGAGACCGGATGCTATAGATCGATTTTTGTAGTACACAGCTGTTATATTTAGTGGCAGCGTTGGATGGTAAGGTTTATGAATTTAATATTATGGAAGCGATGGTTAAATCAATGTTCAGTTTCACTTCGGAATGGCCAAAAGATCTTACGAAACTTATCATGTCGATCATAGAGACGGGGAAGGACGAAATATATAAAGATTTCAATCATTTCTTTTGAAAATTACAATCAAATTGTATATATTTTACTAAGAGGCTGATCTGAGTCATAATAAAACGATAATAATGTATGTATAAAACCTTTGTATTTTTTGTAAAGAAATTGTTTATACCAAATGTTTATAATTATTTTGAGACCCAATCTGACTAACAATTTTAGAAAGTCACTAATGATTTTAGTTTAAATATTATTAGCGTTCATAATGGTCAATGGTTTTAAGTTTAAAATAATTTGATTTTAAATACCTTGAACTTTGAAAATTTCTAGCAGATTAATTATGTTAGTTTAATATATTTGAGGGATACTTTAACATAATACATATATCATTGTTTTAATTTCCCTCGTTTTTGTGACATTATATAAATTTATTGGATGATAAACCATCATATGATAAGGATAACTGGAGCTGTTCTCGATAAACCAGACATATTTAAAACAATTTACAAACTTTTATATAAAAATGAGCTAATTCTTTTTTGTTCACTGCAATATCTTGCATCCTGCTTGCAAATTTTTGGTGAGTGTTTCCTCTACAAGAATGGCTGACGAAATTATTTATTTATTAATAAAAAAAATTGTTACAATTACAGTATTATAAAAGAACTTTTTTTTTCGCGGGTAGGTGTCAAACAAGTTGCAACGTTTTTAGTGAGCTCTTGAAATTTATTTAATTAAAAATACATTATATATAATACATGTATGTGTAAATAACATTACCTACCAGCTTACAATCTCCTTTACAATAAACAATAAAATAATAAGTTAAATAACAACTAATCACTGCTAAAACCATGGATTCAATCAAAGATTCATTGTCTGCCATGTCGGAACTTTTTAATACCAAAATGAATGAATTTCAACATGAGTTACAAAAGACATCCTCATCAGCTGCTACACACACACACCATCACTTTCAACGGAGTTCACGCACTTTAGAAGCTTCATCATAGCCGCTCTCAGCACTCTTCAGCGTCAGGTAGAATTACTTGGAAGGGAGTTGGACCGCCAGGAAATGCAAAGAAGGCGCAAAATACTACTTCTTCACGGAGTACCTGAAGAAAAAGCCGAGAACACCAGTGCTCGGGTGACTAGTCTCATTGCAGACCATCTGGACTTAACAAACTTTTCAAGCTCCAGCATCAAATCTTCCTATCGGCTGGGTAAGTCAATAGCTAACCGGAATAGGCCAATTGTTGTTAAGTTCTGTGATGTTAGCGTGCGGGATAAGGTGTGGTTTGCCAAGTCGAAATTTAAAGGCACTGGCATAACCCAATCGGAGTTCCTCACGAAGATACGGCACGATGTGTTCCTCTTAGCACGGCAGCGTTTCGGCATTGGGAAGTGTTGGACCCGGGATGGACGGATATTCTTCATAGCCCCAGATGGATCGCGTCACCAAGTTGAATCACTCGCTGAACTCGATGCTGTATCCTCTTCACTTTTAAAATCTCCAGAAGTTAAGGGCCTTAACGTCTCGAAGAATACAGATAGTAAAGTTGCAGTATCTCGTCCGAAACGAATTGTTAAAAAGTAGTGATTATAATATTCAGTTTCACATAATATCTGCTTACTACTGGTTTGTTTACATTAATTTACCTTCGTAAACACTCACTTTCTTTATTGATTGGTGTATTTATAAGTGAGTGTAGTTTAAAATTGTTACTATCATGTCAGATATCAAATACAGATTGTGTTGACAACTTCTATTAATGACAGCTGTCACTATCTGGACTCTAGTGTTTTGTCAATTTTAAATACGTTTGTATGACTGTTTCTTTATTTTTAACTAACTTATTTATTTTTTGTTTTTCTCTTTTTTTATTATGTTCCGTAATACATAAATTTAATTTTATAATATTTCTTTTTTATAGTGAAATGTCTGTAATAATTTCTGTTTTGCTAATATGTTGTATTCTATTTACATATCACCATTGTGAATTTTTTTTGTGTTACTTTTTACTACCAGTTTGTTTGGTGACTTATTCTATTAGTCATCTTTTTATGCTATTTTTAGTTTTTTAGGCTATAATTATTTTTTATTTTTTTTCCCTTTTGTGTAGCCATTAGTACTTAAATGTAAATACAGTTTCCATACTTATTTTATGTTATCTCGGTGGTAAGCAGATTATGTATGTTATGATTTAAATTATTATTCTTTAGTCTTTAGCTTTATTAGTTGTTACTTATTAGTTTTATCAATCTCATAATCTTTCAACAGCTGGCGGGTAAGACGGATCTATTATATATTTGCAATTTGTATATTTATATATTGTATTTATTGATTATATTTATATACTTATTTTATTTTAATTCACTATATTCTTATTTATTTAATATTATATTTAATATATATGTATAATGATTGATATTAGCCATGTTCAAGACGACAATGATATATATCTTTCTCTCTCTTCTGATTTAGCCAGTAGCGACGACAGCTTTCAAAGTATTCCTTCTCTCAATGAATCCCTATTAAATCTTTTTACAGACGTACCTAAAAACTTTAACATTGTTCATATTAACGCTCAGAGTATTCCTGCTCACTATCCGGACCTTCTCACATCGTTTGATAACAAAAACCTTCATGCTATTCTTGTGTTTCTGAATCATGGCTTAAACCATGTTTGTCTTCTGAGTCATATTCTTTACCGGGTTTCCATTTAATTCGAAATGACCGTGTCAGTAGAGCTAAAAAAACTCTTTAGACTAGTAGAGATCTTAAAGTATGTAGAACTATTGAAATATTTATATAATAAATATTTTTACTAACAACAAATCGTTTCTTTTGTTTGTACAACAAATATATTTTATAATTGAATAACTAATTACTGACAGTCGTGTCATAATTTATGTGCTTTGTGTAATGGAAAAAGTAGAAATGTTCAATTGCAGATATTTCTCTATCAACCCTAGATCACCACAAAATAAAAAAAAACACACAAATTTCATAAAGAAAACCAGGGGCTACTTCTTAAGCGAAAAGTCTTATTATTGGTATCAAATCCTAGTCATCTTAGAGTTTTCGTAGCTAATATATTCTTCTTTAAGTTTAAATACCTATCTTATTTGTTACATCTTGATCAATTATGATAATAATCTTAAGAGAAAAGAACATGGGTGGCACTTTTATATCGAGAATACTTTAATTACACAACTGGAACATTAAAACGGGAATGATTAAATAAAAAAAGTTTTTTACTGTCATTTTAAATTAGGACTGGAGTCATAATCACCTTGGTGCCTTTAGTCCAAGTTGTTATGAAACTAGATACAGACAGTCTTTACGTTACCGTACCATTAATTCTCTTGTGATATGATTTTGCAGTGAACGTTGTTCCTATAAAATATAAATAAATACTAAGAGTTTTGATGCTACTAATTATTAATATTTTGTCTGGTGTATTAATTACATTTAACTAAAAGTTTTATCGATAGTCAATATTGAAAATAGTAATAACAAGCTTAATAAATTATGCCATCGATTTCTCTTGTGTCATTTGATTCGTAAAACCAGGTTGAAATAATTTTCGTATTATTAAATTAAAAATTCACAAAATTCAACTTAATCAGACAATATTTTGGAAAACAAATTAATGTAATTAAGAATTATATTTAGTTTCTTACTAAAAATTCACTGGTTTATCCCGTAACTCATAATAAACTTTTGTTATCAATGTTAAATATAAACATAAACATACACGCGAATGGGACCTTTATATCTTGTAATTATTATTTGACAAAAAACAATAATGATAACAAGTATAAAATTGTAAGTTGCACATAGAAGAGCGCATATCTACTTTATACTCGTAGTTGGTAAGTGTAACAATTGATATATAGTAGCTTATCCGTGACTTCGCTTCATTTATTTAAGTTAAAAACATCTTCCGTATTTTTTTATTATTAATATAAAGGAAACTTTGTTTTTGCTATCGTATCGTTGGAATATTTATATATAATGGGCAATTTTATATAATTGCATAACAGTGTGATTTTTTAACTTAAAATTATAAGAGTATACGACTTATTTATGTGAATCAATATTGTGAGATGTGATGTTTTTAAAATTATACTAGTTGACCCGGCGTTGACATAACAGTGAGTTGACAAATCTAATATCAAAAAAAAACATTTGTATGGGAAATAGAAAAGCACTGGTTTTAGGGTTTTCAATGAATGAATGAATCAGTGAATCAATTTTTTTTCAGCTTTTAAACCTTATATTTAGAAAGGCAAATAAGTTTTGTTTTGGATGCTAGATTCATGGTTTTTCTTGTGAATATTGTATAAAATTCTCGTGTCGCGGTGTTAGACAGAGAACTCCTCCGAAACGGCTGGATCGATTCTCATGAAATTTTGTGAGCATATTGAGTAGGTCTGAGAATCGGACAACGTCTATTTTTCATACCCCTAAGTCATAAGTCATAAGTTGCATGAAAAAATATATACAACCCAAAATTTTTACTTTTTTATCATAAACCCCTGTTTTTTTATATGGCAAAACAACGTTTGCCGGGTTAGATAGTATTGTATATATATAGTAAACCGGTGCATTTGTTATAAGTATTTCATTATAACGATAAAATTTATTACTTCAGTAATTATAGTAATGTCACGATAAAGGAAATGAATGGAAATCTTTATAACAGTTACATATAAATAATTTATTTTCTATTTATTTATGAAAGTAATATTGTCTGTTCGCATTAATATTAATCCATTTTGTAAGTCATAACAGATAAGCTATACCTATATAACTATTTTTAATAATGATCGACAGTCAAGCATTTTAAACACGGTGGCACTTTACTTGGCGTAGCTTATTCGCCGCATTTGTCCAAATACTTGTACGTAGTCCAAATAGCCCAAACACGACATCCACACTTGGAATGCCAACAACACGTGTTATTGTATGTGTATGTTTCTTATTTGTGCAAATATGAGCAATAAAGACGAATAAACCCTCCACACATGGTCTTATTTGGTCGAACACAACAAATTAACGTCAAGTGAAGTGCCACCTTTATTTGGAAGACTCATAGTGACTCGATTGACAATTGGAAAAATATATATATTTTTACAAAAATTTTTCTTGAAAAAATTAGTAAATTAATGACAATTTCTACATGAAAACAACTTATTTAATAACTCTACGTATGGTTTATTTTATCAATGAACTTTGACATGACTTAAATACAAAAACAGATAAGGTGTTTCGTTTTATTTACAATACCTATACAGGGTGACTGGTGAATTACTATCGATATTTGAGGACGTGATATTTGACGATCATATATGACAAAATAAAAATTAATCTAACATAAATATTAATAAACTTCTAAGTAAAGTTAACCAAAAGTTATGTAATTAATTACGCATCGTGTGAACACCCTACAGGTTAGGTATACACACACACACACTCGCGCGGCGGCGTGGTTTTGTATCAGCACGCCGCCGCACGCGTCCACACTTTATTTATTTATACGGAAATTTGGTCAAAAATTAAGTACCTATTTTTTTTACATAATTCGAATGAGAATCATGTACCGAGTATGCTCCTTAAATATTGATAGTAATTCACCAGTCACCCTGTATATGTACTATATTTTTATTGAAAACTGTATTTATAATTTACATTAAAACATTTTTTGTTAAATTATTAAAATCATTGTAAACCAAGTTCAAATTAATCTCAGAAATTTTACAAGTAAAACATATTCCTTTAAACATTATTGTTTAACTATATTATCCTTATTAATGTATTGTAATAATTATTTTCAGACTGGAAAAATGAGAACACAAGCATTTTTATGTGTAGTCCTCTTTATAGGAGGGTGTATAGCTGCACCTCTCTCAGAAGAAAATGATGAAAGAATTGTTATACCAAGACAAATCTTCGATAAATCTCTCGTTAAATATAAAGCGAAACACGATATCGTGGATATTATTGTACCGTTGAATGCTCTGAACTTTGACGAGTCTATGAAAGATAGTGATTCTGATAGCAAGTCTGATTCTGATGAGAACGATCTTACAGATGTGACGGTTTTCTTAGTAGAAGCTGATCTTAAAGATGGTAAACGTGTTGACAAAGGACTGTACTTATATAAGAATGATGAGGTGAAAATGGTTCTGCCTAATGGAAGAGCAGCGGCGGCTTCATCAAACGACAATAAATTAGTCTATTTCGGAGCCAGCGATGGTTTATATGTTTATAATGTTGACTCCAAGTCCGCTGATAAATATGGAAAATTTTCCGATAGCATTATTGATATCGCTACAAACGAAGATGGAAAACATATTTACATTCTGAGTGAAGATCACAAATTATATAATGTGACAAACGAAGGCGAAGACAAAGAGTTGCTCCAAGATGTAGAAGATGCCCAGGAAATTGTTTTGGATGATTCTGGAAACATTTACTTCTATGACTCAAACAAGGATGTATTCATTAAAAATGCTGATGGGATTATCAAAGTTCAGGGTCTACCGGAAGGTAGGAAATCCCTTAAGCTTGTAAACCCACCGTTTATAATGGAGGAATCAGTTCCTTTGATGATAGACAACGCTCTATACGTTATCAATGCTAATGGAACAGCTGAAGCTACTGGCTTGGAGTTCAGTCCTAATGCGAAACCAACTGCTTATGGCGCTGATGCCGTTCTAGTGCAGTACTACGCATATAATAAAAAACTGTATGAATTTAATCTGTTAGCACTCATAGCAGAAGAAATATTTGAGGGTATGCAGGAAGAAGCTGAGAAAATTCGCAACAACGCTGAAAAACGCAAAAAGTCTTTAGGCTCGAAGAGATCTTAATGTATGTAGTATCCTTGAAATATTTATATAATAAATATTTTTACTCACAACAAATCTTTTCTTTTGTTTGTACAACAAATATAACAAACAAATGTTTTATGTCAGATTTGAATAACTATTTTAATGACAGATGACTCATAATTTTTGTGCTTTATGTAATGGGAAAAGTAGAACTGTACAATTGCAGATATTTCACTATAAATGATACATCACTACAAATTTCATTAAGAAAATTCTAAATAAATCACTTATTCTAATAGGCAAGGGGAGAAACCTTTAAAATTAATAAAAAATGATGAAATATTAATAGTAGAATTAGAAAAGTAGGATAATATTATAAGAATTAAAGGAAAAATAATTGCAGTGCCATTACGTCTTGTGTACCATTTTTTGATAAAATTATCGTGTCTCTTTTAATAAAATGACACTCGATATCGTTTTGAAAATGATCTTTCAATTGTATATTAATAGTTGTTTAATCTGCAAATCTTTTTGAAAATCCATCTTTTTTTTATTTAGAGAAAATTGAGTTTACTACTAAAACTATTAAAATAAAGGTTATATGAAAAAAGTATAAACACAAATGGTTTACATCTTTTTATTACCTACAACTTTGCCATATATTTTTTTCATAAGACTTTTAGTTTTGTAGGAAATCGAGAAAAACCGTTTTTACCCCTTAATATACAACCCTTGTCTCAGAAAAATCATATTGGTACTTACCAGGATCGAACCCGCGCCCTCGTGCATGAGAGGCGGGCCTTTAAGTCTCTGCGTTACCGTACTATCTATTCTCTTAGTTTTGATGCTACTATTAATTTGTTAACTGCAAGCTATTATGAAAACAATTTCAAATATTATAAAGTAAAAGTATAATATGCATTACAGAGTCGCAGAATTCCATAGATCAATTATATTAATATTTAATAAGAAATATAGTTTAACAATTACTAATAATTAAATAGGGTTAAAAGGGAATAGTAAGATAAGTAATTAATTACAGATGTTCAAGGAATTGATAATTAAATGATAATATTAATTTTATCTTTTAATGACGCGAGGGACACATAACATCACCTTTTGGATTTATTATTAGTTCATATCTAGGAAATCAGATATTCCAAGGTTAAAAGTTGAACAGTAGATTTAATTTCAATACTGAAATAGTACATATATTTTACATAGAAAAAGTTTAGAGTTTTGTCTAAATTAAGTAGTTAAAGAACATTAAAATCAACTCTCAATATAACTTGATTATTGTAAACAATATTTGGATGAAATGCAAGTCAATAAAAATAGATTGATATTAGTTGAAACTGTGACAGGTTGTTGTTAAATTGAGAAATTTAAATTTTCAAGTAAAATATGTATTAAGACCGAACATTGCTAATATATAAGTATGAATTAAAGTGTGGAAATTATGTATTTTCTTTTTCTTTCTTTATTTTACATTTTATTTCACTCTCTTTAATATTACATCTACGTTTGTTGTTTTTAAATAAAATTTTTGTTACAAATTTACAAATATTTATTCAGCGACAGATTGATGATACAATTTTAATCTTTCTTAGCTCCCAAAGTGTGTTTATTCTTGTCCGCTTGGTTACGGATATTTTCAGTTTTCTCCCTGATATCATGGAATACATCGTTCTCCATCATTTCCTTTACATTGAATTCGTATAATTTTTTGTCGAGAGCATAATATTGAACGAAGACTGCATCAGGACCGAACGCCGTGGGAGTGGCTTCTGGAGCGAATCTGAAATCTAACTTCTCTGAACTGCCATTCGAGTGGACTATATACACTGTATCATCATACGACATTCCAATAGTCTTATGGACTACAAATGGAGGACGAATAGTCTTTATCTTTTTGGGATCTTCAGGCAGATTTTCTACTTTAATGATTTTATCAGCCGTTTTAATGTACACTTCCTTTTTAGTGTTGTAATAGTAAAGATTTCCGTCATCATCTAACACAATTTCCACTACATCTTCAACGTCATCTACTAGTTCTTTGTTTTCTCCGTTATTCGTGACTTTGTATAGTTTATGATCGTCTGTCACTATGTATATTGTGCTTCCCGTTTCGTCTGTCGCAATGCTTCTGATAGCGTCAGTGATTGGGCCGTATTTATCAGCGGAATCTTTCTCAGTGTTATAAACGTATAGACCATCGCTGGCAGCGAAGAACACCAATTTATTGTTATTACTAGAAGCTGTAGACGATCTGCCCGTGGCTAGAATCATTTTGGAGTCGCCTTTCTCGTATCTGTACAGACCTTTGTCTGCGCGTTCACCATCTTTATCTTCAGCTTCGACGAAGAAAACTGTTAGATCTTTAAGATTAAATTCTTCAGACTCGGACTCGCTACTGTCAGAAGCGGCGAAATTGATAGCGTTCAATGGTACCATGATATCAACGATGTCATACTCCCCAGTGTACTTGATGAAGGAATCCATGAACACCTTCTTCGGAATAACAGCCTCCTCATCTTCTTCAGAGGCGGGAGCGGCTTGCAGTCCCGCGAGAATACAGAACACTGTGAAGATTGCCAATTTTCTCATTTTGATACCTGCAAAATTAAATTTTATATATAAAAAGGTATTGTAGTATACCCATATAATATGTAGGTATATGCTTTTGCTGAACCTCATTATATTTTAAGATAAACTCAATCCTTCCTACACAGTTTTTTATATTTTTTGACGACATTCAGAATTAAATATCTCTCTAGAAGTTCGCAATTATAACATTGTATGTATGTAATGGAAATAATAAAAATATGTAATACGAATTTTTTTACTAGAGATGGGATAAAATATTCATGTAATATTATATGTTTTTGTATATACTAGCAGTAAAAAACCATTTCAACCCAAGAAATATACAAAACGATTAAAATATCTTTAAAAATTTAAAACAATCAACATGCAAGTAATGAAAACATGACAAATAATTAAATATGACCATAGAAATTAATAATATTTAAACAGTAAATAAAATCTTTACTTAATATTAATATAGTACTGATGAATATGATTTAATTTTTACATATAATTAGTATTAAAATAGATTCTGATGTCCCTACTTACCCGATATAAGCACTGAATGTCACTTGTTCGTTCCTCACTTATATATAAGGCCGTGTTATTATAATGCGTTTTAGATTAGATTATTATAACTATACATTATAATTAATATAAACATTATTTGTTCCTGTAACTGTTATAGTATTTCCATACTGCTAACGTTTTTTCAGCGAATATCTTGTTTACAATAACAAAAATCATGATTTAACAGCGTGAGTATAGAGAATATCTAAATATCAGCGGAAAAAAAGTTGTTTGTGTGAAGATGCTTTTGTATATCAAAACATATTTCTAGAATATACAAGAATGGGAATTATTGCAAAACTTGCTTTAAAAAAAACGAATGTTCAATAAATAGATTGTTTCTTATTTATTTTTAGTTTGTTTTATTTAAATAAGCTTTTATAATTTTTGAGTTAAAGACGAAAATTTCTTAGCATTCCATGTATTCACGGTGCGTGTGTCGGGTCCATCGTTGTAGTGAGAGGAGCTTCAACAGTGACTGGGACTTGTGACCCAGGTGTAGGTTTAAGGGGTCCCCTATTAGTTCTTCACATAATTTGTATTTTTATTGAAATATGTTTGTAATAGTAAATTAATTAGCCCGTATTATTGTATTAAGAAAAAGCAGATTGAAGACACATGATTAATTGTACATCTTAATAGTTAAAAAATTTACATATAAAAGACATTTTCGCAAACTTCTAAGCTTCTCACAAATTAGTTTAAAAATATTCATAGAGTAAAAAATAAATTATATTATTTGGAAGATAAATTAAACAATTATTTAAAATTTCTTTCGTCTTTTCATTAATATTCCCTAAGAATGTTAAAGCTTGGCCAGTAGATTTATCGTTTAAGATTTTTAATTACCTATTAATGAGAGTCAAAACTTCAACGACGTAAATTTTATTTACAATAGTATATGTAATATTTCTCAATTTATTATAAGCTTATTAATAATATTTAACCCTGGTTTATCGAGTACAGTATCAATCAATATTATATCAATAATAATATATATGTTTATCGTACTTTGTTAACCTCATAGATAATTCATGGAAATCAAAGTGATAAGTCTAAAACACACTGTTAGAAGAAATTATAATAGTTAAAAATATATTAGAGAATATTTTATTTATGAATTGATTTGAGTAACCTTTAACGTGTCAAAAAATTAAAACAAAAGTTTGATTCTTGAGTTTATAAAGAAAATATTGAATGTTGTTCGTATTTATGATTTCAGATTCATTTTATAAAGAAAAGTTAATTAAAATATATTATTATAAACACACTGTAACAATAAATAAATTGCAATATTGGGTATTAATATTCAGAACTTTTTGAAATTATAAACTTTGTGAAAATCAAAAAATACAACTTACAAGAATCAATCATATTTCTTTTGCAATGAAAATTAATTAACACGTATGTCATTTCAACTACAAACGCATACACTACACTTGCATTTTAATATTTGGAGTATATTTATCAAAATACAAACAAATATTTAGAAGCAAAGTCATTCAGAACTAACAAAAAAAGTAATTAAATTCGATATTTCACATTTTTTTATCATGTTCAAGACATTCACGATTCTACATAACTATAAATTAATTCTAATTTCTGTATTCGCGAATTTTAAAGCTCACGGTTCCTTGGGAAATCAACATTGCCAAAGACCATACCATCAAGGTCAACAAATATTACGAGCTCACTAACGAACTCACTGAGTATAGGTTCACTGTGGATTTGTACGCGGTAGAAGTGGGAGCGAGAGGTATAACAGCTAAATCTCTCTACAACGTACTAAAAGACTCAGGCTTGACCATAACTCACATCAATAATTCATTCTTGGAACGTACTTCGAAGGCAGCCCTAGTAGGTTCTTTTCAAATTTGGTAGAGAGAAGAGCTTGGAGAGTGTAGGTGAGCGTTTAACGCGTTATATAGGGTCCCTTAAACCTACACCTGGGTCGCAAGTCCCAGTCACTGTTGAAGCTCCTCTCCTTGCAACGCGATGGACCCGACACCCGCACTGTGAATACTTTACCCGCACCGTGAGTTTTAGTTTAAAAACTTGTTCCAACCTAAGAAACTGAATCTAAAGGCAAAAACTCACAGCCATGAATTTGGCTTAATAATAAGTTTAGGATTTGTAACGACGCCCGACAATATAATTAATGTAACGCCTGATTAAAAACTATTAGCAATATTCAGAACAACACTATATATATTTTATATCAATGGGAAAACTTTATTTAATTTAAAATATATCAAAACATTTTAGGAAAATATGAATTTATTCGCTGAGTGGTTTTCATATATACAATTTAAAGTGCTTCATAGTAGTTGTTTACAGGTAACCTACAGACTGACATTAAGTATGTTTTTTTGACTGATTTAAACTATAAATTTTTTATTATTATTTTTTGATCATTTATTGGAACACTTTAAAAGTGTTTGTGTTTAAGGTAGCGAGTCTATTTGGTACTAATCATCTAATATAATGATATCTAAAAATTTCACGAGTATTCATTTAAATAAAACTAATTTTTTCGGATTGTATTATTCGTTTTTTTACTTATTTGTTGATTAAGGTTGCTGCAAAATAATCGAAACCTCGGGAGTGTGTATTTGATAATAATAAGTCTTTATTGAGATCACTTACTACAGTGAAGTTTAAATTTACGTACAGAACTAATATTTAAATCTTAAACTTGATAGATATAAATATATTTATACTAATAGATAATAGACACATCAACCATGTCAAGGGATATTTCATGAAAGACTTCGAAACTTAAAAACTTATTACCGTATAAAAGAAGTTTGTATGCAAAATATATTCTTCTCCACCACTTTTTTTTTTAAATAAGAAATAAATAAAACGAAAACTCATTTTGAAACAAAAGAATATCGATTATTCGAATTTGGTCGTCGAAAAGTTAGTTAATGTTACAATAAAACATTTTAAAAATAAATAAAACAAAACATTTTTCTACTTTCTACGTGTGTTACATTTATTGTTATATTTGACAAGGGAAGTGCAGATTAGAACTATAGTCATGTTGAAGCGGGCGCTATACTTGAAAAGAACCTGGGACTATTTGGATAACTTAATTTTGAATAACCGATGCCGAACATTAATTAACGTTAGAGGAGGAAATACTGATTATTAACTTTAATTAAATGCCTTTTTTTGTTAATTTATGACTTTAATTTTCATTATTTCGAACATAAAATCCATTATGTACAAAATAAAAACCACACCCAATAATAAAATCAAAAAATAAATAAATTAAAAATCTGTAATGCATCATTTTAATGTATTGCAAGTATAAATCATAATATGAACTTCAATTTCATATCGTCTTCATCAGCCTATCAGAGCCCACTGCTAAGCAAAGGCCTCTTCTCACATGGAGAAGGTTTGAGCATTAATCACCACGCTTGATCAAGACGGGTTGGTGATTTCAAACTTATAATTGTGAAACTATAAGTACAGGTTTCCTCATGATGTTTTCCTTCACCGTATGTCAATGATGTCTAAATACTCTCAGAAAGTACATATGACTTTGAAAAATCACATTGGTACTTGCCAGGTTTGAACCCGCGCCCTCGGCAACGAGAGGCGGACCCTTTAACCACTGGGCCACCACTGACTTCAATTTCATATATAATTGTTTTAACTAAATACATATATACAGAGTTTTATATAATAAGATAAAAATTAAATATCAATAGGCAATGTTGATTTGTTACTTTGTTATATATCCAAGAACTGTTTGCCAGTCGGCAAAAGCGTCCTCCAACTACGATTTTTTTTGTTTTCTACCCTCCATTCTAATAATTCCAATAATAGCACTCCATTGTTTGTTTTTTATCATTTCCAAAAGATCTCAGTCTTATATCGACAAATAGTTGCAATCAGAAATTAAATTTGCGAAAACTATCTTTGAAATTTTAGGAGAGGAAAATAGTTTTTAAGTTTATTCATATTAATTATTTTGTCCATCTGTATAAGGCTGTGTAGTAAGTAAATCTTCATCTTTTGGGCATAGCATCAAAACAAAAATGATATATATGTATATATGGTTTAGTATATGACATCGCATTGTATTTTATTTCATACTAGAAGACCTGGCGAACTTCGTATCGCCTTATAATCAAGAAATATCTATTACGTTTTTTTATTTATATTTTTGGAGTTTACCTGTAAGCCATAAATCTTCGTGTTTTGAAGTGCGACAGAATGATTGACATATTAGTTAGTTGTCAAATCTAATGTCAAAAAAAACGTTTGTATGGGAAATAGAAAAGGGCTATTTTTATGGTTTTCCCAGTAATGAATCAATTTTTTTCAGCTTTTATACCTTCCCTGAACCTCCACGAACATTTCAAGACTAAGATAAGATAAATCGGTTCAGCCGCTCTCGAGTTTTAGCGAGACTAAGGAACAGCAATCCATTTTTATATATATAAGAAGATAAGAAGATAAATAGTATATCACAAATATAATAACTATGTGTTATCTCTTGGAATATAATAATATTTGAAATATAGCTAAAATGAAGTGTATGAAATAAATAAAAATCATGTGTTCAACTTAAAGTAAAAATTTATTTATAAAATCAAATGCTTACTTGACAATATATAAAAAATTCGTATATTCACATATTTTTAAGGCATCGTGTACAACATTTCAAAAAATACGCAAAAATTTCAAACGTCAGCCAAATGCTTGAGATTTTTACGTTGGTCCGCAATCAAAAAAACATATTATATTTTGTATATATTATCTTTTTCCTAATAATTTTTGAGAAAAACGATGATTAGGGCAATATGTACCATCGTGATCCCCAAAAATAAATTAAAATATTATTTATTGTTCACAACTTATCTTCCTAATACACGAGATGTAACCGATTTAAACTAATTTAAACTAATGCGGTCATTACAATACATATTGAACTAAAAAAACATATTTGTTGATTTGGCACAAGACATTCTCATAGAAAATTTTATTAGCATTGTGCTATAACATAACGTGACAATTGATTATTGAAAAAAAAAAATGTAATAAAAAAAGAAGGCAAGCAAAGCGGTTTGAATCTTAATAACTTAATTTAAAAGTATCCAAAAAACAAAATTATCAAAAATTTGTCATAACTCAACACGTGAGAAGTGTTACTGTAAACTGTAATACATTTAGCTACAACTTAAATAAAAAATAACAAGGAATCTCAAGTTAAATCTAATTAAAAAATATATTATCAATAAAAATAGTATCAAAATCCATAAAATAAATTGTACAACAGAAGAATAAGTAAGAAAGCACAAAACAAAATTTAAAAAAATTAAGAATTAAGATTTTTTTTCAGAATAACAGAAAAAAGAAAACAAAAAACAGAATTAATGAAATAGATGTTTAAGGAATGTAAAGCTCAAAATCATTTAGAATTATATTTCTTTTCAGAATAACAGAAAGAAGACGTGAAGATAAGAAAAGAAGTAATAAGAATGTATGTAACGTATATAAAACAAACAGCCAATTATTACAATATAGAAGATCCTCACTTGAAGTGCACCAAGTTGAGGAATTCCTCCCTGGTCTTCGGATCGTCACGGAAGACACCCAACATCGTGGATGTCACCGTCTTACTGTTAATCTTCTGAACACCTCTCATCACCATACACATGTGACTGGATATGTAAAGAAATATATATAACAAAAAACATCAACTTGCAATCAAAACTCAATCGATATAATGAGATATGTTCATAGGAATCAATTTAAGTGAGACATTTTTGTGGATAAACGCTAAAGTTGTTGATTGCACCTAGGTATCATGATTATTATAAATTATTTCACTGTTTGTAGTCATGGAAATAGTAATTTAGTTATTCCGCAGAAACTGCAAAAAATGCCATTCATTTCTTACAGCTCAACTCTTAGTATTTACAATTTGAATTAATCCATTGTAATTCATAGTTTTTGGACCTATTATTTATGTTTTAAGTTAATAATATTTACATTTCTTCTACTAAGACTTATACAACATTAAATAGTCTAGTCAAAGTTTATAGTTTTTGGACATATTGTATAGGACCATATATTTGAATATGGGTTACTTGTCTTAATCAATAATACTTACACTCCTTCTACTACGACAGCGACTCCCGCTGGTCTCACCGCTTGTGTGACTGCAAGCGCTATCTGTTTTGTCAAACGCTCTTGCACTTGGAGGCGACGGGAATATATCTCTACGATCCTGGAAAATGGAATATTATGAAGGTTTACTTAAGTTGTAGGTCACAGAGTAATAAAGCTGGTAAAATAAGTCAGATAAATAGCCAGTAGATAAAAAAAATCTTAAGGATTTGTGTTCCAATGGCAACTGGCAGATTTTCCAGTCCAAAGACTTAAGATGTTTAGTGGATGAAGTCATTCTCATACCTGGCCAACTTGCTCAATCCAAGGATTTTGCCCTGAGGCAGATATCCGATGGAAACTTTTCCGTAGAACGGCACTAAATGGTGCTCGCACATAGAAAACATTTCTATATCTTTCACGACAACCATTTCATCTGTGTCTTCATCGAAAATGGCGTTGTTTAACACCTCTGGAATAAAAAATCATTTATATAAGTAAAGGCAGTGAGGTTAAAATTTATAGATTATTATTTTTTTGTTTTTTACCTTCTAAGCTCTGGTCGTAGCCTTTTGTGAAGAATAACATGGCTTTAGCTGCTCTTTCTGGTGTTTTGAGGAGACCCTGTCTCTTAGGATCTTCACCTAAACCTGTAATAAAATTACTTCTAAACATTTTCTTCTTTGGATAAATTAAAAACAATTGTTCCATTGACTTTTCATATAAAATATACAGGGTGACTGGTGAATTACTATCAATATTTGAGGACGTGATATTTGACGATCATATATGATAAAATAAAAATTAATATAACATAAATATTAATAAACTTCTAAGTAAAGTTAACCAAAAGTTGTGTAATTAATTACGCATCGTGTGAGCACCCTACAGATTAGGTATACACACACACTCACACATACGCGGCGGGGGCGTTGTGTTGTATCAGCACGTCGCCGCGCGCGTCCACACTTGGAACACTTGGAACGTGTACACACTTTATTTATTTATACGGAAATTTGGTCAAAAATTAAGTACCTATTTTTTTTTACATAATTCGAATGAGAATCATGTACCGAGTATGCTCCTTAAATATTGATAGTAATTCACCAGTCACCCTGTATATTGCAAACACTTTACGATGTAATACCACAAAAAACAAGATAAAACAGAAAATAAAATGATGGAAGTTACATGATTAAATGCATCTGTAATAAAGATTAGATAATTTATTTGGTGCAAATATCAAAGTTCAATTTATAATTTGATCTTGAAATTTATACGCCATTATTAAAGTGACACAAAATTTAATAATATTAATATAAATAGAACAAAAGCTATCTTATCACGTCTTACTGATCTCTTTTTATCGATTGAAATAAAGTACTATAAAAATTTACACTGTCCACTTTTGTCATTCTAATTGTGTTTCGGTTTTAAATACAGTCTAAATGTTACTTACATTTTTACTTATATTTTCGGATTACTACAAATTATTTTATTATACAAAACAACGTTACAGATTTTGCAACAAACGTGATCACTAATAGACGAGATGTGACGAAAAAAATAGTAAAATAAGGAATAGTAATCCGAAAATGTTAGTTTCATTTAAATGAATACTCGCGAGTCTTTGGTCTCATTATTTAAATTGACCTTGTAAAATCCAGAAGTATATTTATTTACCGGTAAGTAGAAGTCTGTAAGAGCTGGCCATGTCTGGAAGAAGAGCTTCCCTGGTGGGTGGTCGGTGATCCAACTCCAGGTCGTGGTGGAAGGTACATTTCTCATGACCTGGAATAAAAGAGAATTATCTTTATCATTAAATTCTACTTACAAAATCGTTGAGAATGCTCTAGTAACTTTAATTTACAATAAAAAGTACTTCGTTGATAAAAAAAACTAGTAGAAACTCGATTATCCGGCCCTCAGTTATACGGATTCGCGATTATCCGGGCTACGGACAAGTCCGGACAAGAAAAAATGTCAAAGCGTAAGAGAGTGGTGTTGTTGAGAGTGACGTACGTCAAATGACAATTACCAAATATTCTAAACCAAATTAAACGTACTATTTTAATTCATAATTACCAATTGCAAATTACTAAATACATATTGTAATTTACTAAATATGCAAAATTTTGCTTTTCTTCAAACATTCGATTATATGGATTTTCGATTATCCGAATGCCTATCGACAACAATTAGTCCGGTTAATCGAGTCTCTACTATAAGAATCTAAATATATATATATAGTTAATTGGAATGGATATTAGATATTAACACATTTTTAATTGTTTCCTAATTAATAAGTTATTATATAAAGTAAGTTGAGGTTACGTTTAATTAAAAAATCAATTAAATAATAAACAAATAATTAATGTACAATTCGCTAAATTAATCGAAAAATTCTTATGACGAAACCGTATTTTCAAGGTTGATAAAAAAGTGGTTAATAAATTGAAGTTTTTTTGTCTCCACTCAGATTAAAAGTTATCAAAGTTTTTTGTTAGTAACGATAAAAATTCATTCTTTAATTGTGTCTGAATTAATAACATATATATCATTCAAATATATGATAATACAGAAAGAGATATATTCAATCTCACAAATTGCTACGACGAGCAAAATAATATACATGTTCATTTCTATTGAAGTATTGAATACACGCAAATGTATTCAGCGAAAGCTGTTACTAAATTGATTATTCTAAGCAACACTTATAGATAAACATTGAGAGAAAACATTTCAAAATGTATTAGCAGACTTTAAATATTTTCGTCAACAACTTAAGTGGCTGTTGATAATATATAAGTGGTTTAAGAAGAAATACGAATTATACAGAATAAGATAATATAACAGTCACTGGTGGCCTACTGGTTAAAAGGCCCACCTCTCATGCACTAGGGCGCGGGTTCGATCCTGACCCGGGCAAGTACCAATGTGATTTTTCCGAATCATATGTACTTTCTAAGATTATTTAGACATCACTGATTAATGCTGATTCCCAAAAGAGGGTTGATGTCAGGCAGGCGGTCGGACGTAAAACAACTAGCCAAAACTATTCACAACATGTAAGGCAGATCCTGGCTAAAGCTGGGAAATTGCCAGGTAGAAGAAGAAGACAGAATAAGATAATATATCAAATAGGGTGGTCAATCTGAATTTTGAATTGAGATAGAGAGAGGAGCTTGGACGGTGGAGGTGAACGTTTAAAGCGTTAGATAGTGGTCCCTTAAACCTACACCTGGGTCACAAGTCCCAGTCACTGTTGAAGCTCCTCTCACTACAACGATCGATCTAGCACCCGAATGTGAATACATGGAATTCTGAGAGATTTCGTCTATAGTGTTACTAAGTTATGATGCTTTACCCGTAGCTACTCGTATTCTACTTATTTTTAACACAAATACAAACAAACCAGGCGTTGTGGATGTACGCGGCGTCATCGGTGTACCAGGTACTTCTAATTCGCTCTCATCATTAATGTGGAAATTCTTCAAGGCTTCTGGAGTTTTCTTGTATTTGTTTATGAATGAACCTTTTGGGGATACGTCACCATTTTCTTTGTCTTCCGAAATAGAGTTTCTTATTGAACGAGAGCTCACACGACGTATTAATGAGGAAGGAGGCACTATAGGCTCTGATATATCTTTTCCATTTACAGCCATTTCTAAACTATTATCATGAATTCTATGTACAAAATGTTTACAATTAATATCCTTTTATTTTAATTATTTCACATACGTGCGGATCGCGTAGTGGTAACAGTGAGTATCAAATTATCGAATTTTTTGTCTTTTGTTTTGATTATGTTATATAAATATTGAAATTAAATATTACATGATTATTTTAACAAGTCTTTTTTTTCGTATTTTCCTTTGTATTTTATGTATTTTATTATATATTTTAATATAATACACGCACTCATCATTTAGTTATCTCGTTTGAACGTCCAGAAGTCACAATGTTATCGGCAATTTAAATACAATGTTGTGAGATTTTGATGACTTAATATAATAATGAGAACTACGTCTTAAGAAAATTATTGCTTTTATTTTATTATAATAATTATAAAGTATCGTGATGGAAATTTTCGAGTTATTATATAAGGAAACAAAGAATTATGTATTTTGCAAAAGTTATTTTGTTATTAATAGTAATCTTATGGCAATCAATTCGTTTGTTTTGAAGAATATAGATAAAAATGCTTTTAAATTCACTTGTATTAGTATTTTCTATTAAAAAATAATTTAATTGTATAATTTTCTATAATAAAAATGTTCTAAAAATTCATTAATTTTCGATGTAGGATACATATTTTAAATGTGATAATGATTTCTTACTGAAACTATTTTTAATTATTTTAATATTACAACTATACATATGTATGTATGTATATGTGTAATATTTTTACGAACGATAAATTTTGCGAGCGAAGTAAAAATAAATAAAGTTTTCTTAATTACATCTTAATTACAATATATTTCTTTATATAAAAGAAAAGGTTTTATAAAAACAGTACGTCTGTCTGTCCGAATAAAGGTTGTATGAACTTTTAATTGTTTCTTCATACTTTTAAATAATAATATTTTGAAGTATTCGATTTTCTTATAAAGATTCGATTGATTGTAACAAATGTTGGTTCAAATGGCAACAATATGTTCAATGTTAGAGTAACGCGACCTTCCTTGTAGCGTCAGCAAGAGAAGTATTATTATTATTAAAAAATATAAATACTTAAAAAATTATTACATATTTGAACCGTTAGAATCGAGAGTTAGAATATATATATGTGTTTATTAGGGTTTTAAACACATATTTTATTATATAAATTAATTTGATGCATTTTTTTCTGACGCTACATTCGAGTTAGGCTATAAAGAAGTATTTGTGAGCACAATACAATACAAGACCACAAAAATTGCTTCGTACATTTAGAAGATACAACATATATACATATACTTATATTTAAACATATATATTATATATTATTTGTAAGGTTACATATACATATATTATTTATTTAAATAGAAAGCAATAAAACGAAAGTCGATCTACATATACATTTGGAATTTAAATAGTTTTTTGTACCGCATTCCGTGGACTCGGTCAACGGTGAATTTTGAACTTTTTCTTAATTAAAACCATTTTAAAGAAATAAAGATTTATAAGAAAACTAAGATTTCTTATAAAAAGAGTTTTTAATGATTAAAATAATCTAAAAATATTGTCATGTATTGAATAATCCTTAATAGTATTATAAATGCGAAAGTAACTCTGTCTGTCTGTAAGGCTTTCACGCCTAAACCACTGAACTGATTTTAATGAAATTTGGTACAGACATAGAGTTGACCTTGAGAAAGAACATAGGATAGTTTTTATCCCAGACTTTTAAAAAGTTTCTTGGAAACGAGATATAACCGAACTCCACGCGGGCGAAGCTGCGAGCGGAAAGCTAGTATTAATTTATTTAAACGTATTTAGAAAACTTGTTATATTTTTCAATAGTCATATAAGTTTTAAATGTCAAAATTTTAATCAAAATTATCCTTATAATAATTTTTATGTATATAATTTAATTAGTAATAACTTAGGGCGTACTTAATTATCGTTTGCGAGTGACCTTACGAAGTGAATGTTCGTCCTTTGGTATAACTTGAAAGGTATATACATTAAAATTAACCTCTAAGCTGCTTTAAAATTATGTTCCATTGTTTATATAAAGACAGTACATAAACTGTTTATGTATAAAATAAAAATCTTACCGTTTGGTACGTCCTATTTACGAACAACTAATTAAGAAATATACATACATATATACATATGAAAATACTTTTAATTTATTTAATTAATAATAATTTTGTTATTTGTATATGTTCTACTTGTCATATTTAATTTTTATTATGCAATATTATTTGATTGTTAATTTAATATTTTTTATTATTATTACGAGAGATTATCAATGATCAATTCTATGTAATTATTTTGTTTATAAATAATTTTATTTCACACAGTTCATGTATTAGCATCCTATTGATTCAAAACAATGGTGTGTAAACATTGATATTGCGAACAAAAAATATGTACAACAGCTAATATTTCCATCGTTCAAGGTTATTTGCGACTCACTGTAAAAAAACCGTTTTATAAAACCACTGTCGCGATCCGCACTCAAATAATACACTTACTAATATAACGTAAGTGGTGGCACACACTCGCGTTTATATCTCAACGGTGACTGAATCTATCTTGGCCCTTTGCGCTTGTGTGGAAACAAAATCAATATTTCGTTTACGTCAGAATCAACAAGTCCAGTTATAAGAGTTTCGCGGGTTTTTTTGTCGGAAGATTTCGGTAAAAAGATGATTTTGTACTTCTCGTTTTACGAGTTCTTTTTTCTTAGAATCTTTTTTTGTATATAAGATAAGTATTAATATTTTTTTATATTGGTATTATATAAAGGAAAAACTAGCTAGGAAACTACATATAAGAATATAATTATGCTACCATTAATAATGCATTAGTTTGTTGCTGACGGTAACTAGTAATATAGAAAAAATAGAAGTCTTAGGTCTTTAATACAAACATAACATGTTATAATTAAAACACATATGATATTTTAATTATTTTTTTTCTCAATACACATGTGTACCTATGATCATAGTATATCAATTTGTCTCAACGCCGTAATAGCTATTACTTTTCTTAAGGCGCTTGATTAATACTTATTCTTTGGAGCAAAACTATTAATATGTATTTGCAATATCATGAAATACATAATAAATATTTACGCTACCTAATAAACCTTTATTAAGATGATAAGATCTAAGATTTTCGAGAGTATTCATTTAAATGACATAACATCTCGTCTGCCCGTAATCACGGTTGCTGTAAAGTAGCCGAAACGTCGGGAGTATGTAGTTTATAGTCAAAAATAAAAGAAACGCGTAGTAAATCCGAAAATATTAGTTTCATTTTATTATGATAGTTTTTTATTTTCAAATTAGAAGCAAAATTGAAACTCAAACTTCCTTTGGTGATCTTGTTGTAAATGTCTAAAAATTTAATAATAAAAGTGACGTTGTATAAGCATAATAAATTCGTTTGATTATACCTTATACAGTATTCAACGGTAACAGGTAAAAGGAATGCCCGGGATTAACCGCTTTGGGAATCCCGGTAAGGTAAATGTTTATGTTGCCGGTGAAAACCAGGAACTTTTGGTAAGGCCTTCAAATTATAAATATGAATGAATTAATCATTTCTAAACTGGTCGTGATATTCACACTTAAAATATTGACTCACTGTAATAACGTACTTGCGACAAATGATTTTTTTCTTTGTTTTAGAGTACGGAAAAACCATTGTGCTGGTTAAATAAAAAAAAACTAAGATTCTCGCACTTACTACATGTTTTTTGTTACTTTAAAAATACTTAATTGAAAAGTAATGTGGTAAAGTAATCGAAATTCTAGAGTAGGTATATAGTTTTAAAGTATGTAATATTAAACTAGTATATTCGATAATGTTAGTTTTGTTTACTTTTTCAATTGTACATAGAAATATATATTATTTCTTACAATTATATTATTAAAAGAATAACTCTATCAGAAATCTGTTGGGATAAGACGGATATAAAATACATATATATGTATATACACGAAATAATTAAATCTTTGATTAAAGTTAATATAGTTGGTTTTATATACATTATTATAAGTCATTCAAAATCTATTAATGTATGATTGCTTTTGTTTTGCATTTACATATATATATATGTATATATATATATGTAAATGCAAAACAAAAGCAATATATATATACATATATATGAATGGAACAAGAAAAAAAATAGTTAAGATATATAAAATATATCATATATCTAACATTTATTAATTGTTAATTAAATATGAATAATTTATTTAAATAATATCCATTTATATTATATTGAATAAACGAATAAATTATGTATGTTCCAATTGTTTCTTTATATATTTATAATATTTATAACAATATGTTAAAAATATTACATATATATTTTATATATCATTGAAATTATATAGTTCCTTATATATTGAACGTCACACTATATAAGAGATTTATGAACATGTGTATATATTAATTTGTTTTTTTTTGATGTATGGATTTAGGATTTATTTTAAATAAAATTGATAAATATTATAATAAATTCATATGTGTAGTATGTATTGTAATTAATTAAAAATTGTATAAAATTATCTAATTATTTTATATCAAAGAAAAACTCAATAAAATAGAAATATTCTTTTTTAAACAAACAACATTTTAAATGTGAAAGAATTGTTTTATTAAAATAAAAGGGACACAGCCAGATGATCTAACTAGTATGCTTTAAGCTTATAAATAAATAAAAAGCTTTCTAGATAAAAGCCTCAGCTTGTAATTTCATACGCGGCTTAGAGGCCGTATGTGAGATTTATCGGATATAACTTAAACTTGTTTAACCCTTGTATTTTATATATATGTATATATATCATTAATTCAATTAATATATAAATAAATATATATGTATGTATAAATTCATATATTTAAATCCAATTAAAGAAATATTTAAATCGTATAAAGATATTAAATTGCGGTTTTAAATGTATTTAAAATTATTAATACAATATATATCTTTGTACAAGAG